GTAAGAAAAATCTCCTGGGTCTTGGGGCCTAAAACATGAACGGGCGAGCACCTCCACACAGGATCCAGCGGGAATCGAGCAGGAGACCTTTAACATAACGCATTGGCACTTCACCTATCGCTATTTGTAGCACAAACAATATATGGATAATACTAAATGTAGCACTGGCATTTCAGGATACCTCACCCTGTGCAGCCCTGCCAATTCAGGGCAAATTCTGATTTCCTAAAAACTCCCCTGAGGCCTCAGTGTACCCCCAAACGAATCTGAGGCCCTGCTTTTGATCCTGTTACAAGTCACTCATATAAAGACTTCCACTGCTACAGGAAGCTACTATCCTAAGACTACGATCATATTCAGACAGTTTAAAATCTATCACATTCTTTGTACCAACCCTCTCGATAGTCGACACCACTTTTTGCCCATGATTCTAACACTCTACTTCAACACTTGATCTCAGCCTTGAAAGATCCTAAGGGCTTTTCTCAGCCCAACACGTGGGACCATTTCGCATTACTCAGATGGTGACACATATCACGGCAAAGTTATTGCTCCCCGACGACTGGAAGATACACGACGCATTCCACGTCAGCCTACTGCGTCATTACGATGCACCTCAGTCGCCGACCGTCGCCCGGCCACATATTGCACCAAGTGTTCGACCAGTGGCAGAACCGACACTCGAGCCATCGAAGATTCTGAACCATTGCGTGGATCTAACAGCCTCAGGATGCCGCATCGTCGTCTTACTTCGCTGGAAAGATCGTACAAGCGACGACGACACCTACGTTGCCGCTGAATCGCTACAGGGGCATCCGGTTCTGCAGGATTATTTGACTCGCCGGCGTGTCCCGGATATACACCACCTTTCTTAAAAGGGGGGGTAGTGTAAGGAATTTTCCCTAATTCCTTACTGAGTCACACCGTACGCGTACAGACCCCAACATTTCGGAGTTCAGGCTCGGTCCGACAACCTCGCCCTCCGAACCATCATCGCGTCGCCTTCGGGTTTACCTAAACCCGAACCTACACCATCCGCGGTCCCGCAATCTCGGCCTCGCTAGCAGTGGCTATATAAGTGCTAGGCCTCATTATTTGCTCAGTAGTTGTTATCATTTCCACGATATTGAATCCTGCGCACTCTCTTCACTACAACTCATAACAAGTGAGTTCTGCTGATGCTCGACAAAAAATCCTCATCCCAAATGGTGTGTGTGCGTGCGATTCAGAGTCCAAAGATTCTGTGCAATTGATCCAAGTTCAATTATTACTAGTTCCTGTGTTTCAGGCTACAGATGTCAGGCTATCTACTGCACTCTGAGATGTCATGGCGAATGAGATCATGATACATCTAAAGAAAGATTGTCAGTGTAAATATTCATCTACCAATATTCATGTAAACAAGGCAATAAAATGCAAATCAATCAGCCTCAAAAGCTGTTTGACTGTAACATAGAAGGCATGTTTCCATGCTGCATACCCTAATCAGATATTAGAGGCAGCTCACAGCTCGTCGTGGCCAGCATCCTGCAACAAATGACAAATAATCAGCAATTAGTGTGAAAGAATAACGAACTAGCCCGTGGTGTCACGCCAAAAAGTAGCCATACAGTAGGGGTTTATCAAGAGTGCAGCATGACAAAGGACTCACCTCCTTCGGCTCCTCCTCATCCTCCTTATCCTCAGCAGCCTCCGCAGCCTCAGCATCACCCTCGGCATCATCCTGAAACCAATGAGGCCAAAATTCAACATTTATCAAGCACAATCACAGCTCCACCCAACAGCTTCTGAAGACTGGATTCAAATGAAGAAAACGGCATGATTATTACAAGATTCTCACCTCATCATCGGCATCATCGTCCCCAGCGTCGTCCTCTTTCTCCGCCTCCTTGGACTTCTCGGCCTCATCATGCATCTTCTTCTCCTCCTGCATGACCAAACGCGCATGCAATGTTAGCACACCCTCTTACAAGCCTCAAAAGCAACATGACGATGAGTGCCTTCACTTACCGCCTTCATGGCGCCCCATGTGTCCTCAGCGAACTTGCGAGCATACTCAGCATCATCAGTGACCAGGATGTTGTCAAAGATGGAGCCAGCCTTGACCTGCCACAAAAGAGTGCGAACACTCATTAGTATGGCTGAGTCGTAAGAGGTATGACAAAGCCTGCAATAACTCTAAATCGGTTAGAACACACACCTGCCAGATCTCAAAGCCAGCGTAGCGCAGAGGTGGTAGACGATAGGCCTCTGGCTTCTCCACGAACTCTGCAACACCGTATACCGTGATTAGATTCGGAATTGCATAGAGATAGGAAACTAAACCAAGAAAACCAGTCAAGCTTACCAGGGTTGTCAATCATAGGAGGCTTCCACTTGCCCTGGTACGCGGGGTTCTTGATCCTCTGTGGGAAGAAAAGCATGAGAACAGAAGTCCATTTGCGATTAGCATAAAGCAGGTCGCGTCTAACGACGACAATTCGAGAATCGAAAACACCGTAACGATTACTAAGTAACATCAGCTTATTACCGCAATCAGGGGTCAGGGATACGCGCGAAGCGTACCTTGGCCTTCCATTCGCCCTTGTACTCGGGGTTGGGGATAAGAGGAGCCTCCCATTCACCATCATCCTCGTCGTTCCAGTCCTCGGGCTGGAATCAAAGATATGGCATACAGTATCACAAGTTAGCCCACCAAGTTCTTTGTTTGAAGTATAGTATGTGTCTACTAGCTCCGCATTCTGGGAAATGTTTGCATGTTCTAAGACCAAAACGCTCACCTTCTTAGCCTCGGGATCCACAATCTCAGCAGCGATGTCATCCCAGCCCTGCATAAACAATGCGTATAAGGAAACCAGAGCCCGGGTGAGAAAGAAAAAAGACAAGCGATTGAAAATCCCAGAGAAACCTCGGAAGGACAGGGTTAACAACTGAAAAATAACAGGCCGAGATCCTACTTCACGTACATCGGGCTTCTTGTCCTCGGGATCATCCATGTACTCCTCGTCAACCCAGTCCTCCGGCTTCTTGACGGACTTGTCGGGGATCTGGCGAGGCTTCAGGAAATCCCATTCCGCAAAAATGTCGCCGCCGGACTTCTCGACGTTGTCGATCAGGATCTTGTAGGTGTTGTTGGGGCTCAGGATGAAAGTGTAGACGTGGGAAAGCGTGTCGGTCTCGCACTCAACGTTCTTCTTGATCAGCATGTTCTTGCCCTCGTGGGTGATGATGGCGTGGACCCTCTTAGTCGAGTACCCGCAGATGTCCGGGCCGAACATGATGCTGCACATATGAAGAGAGCAGTATGTTGAATTCGAGTTTCGAAGCACGATTCATCGGAAAAATATTGTAGTCAGGATCGAACCTGTAAGGAGTGTCGCCACCGAAGTTCTTCTGGTCGACCTCTCCCTCCAGAAGCTTGATGTAGCCACCACCACAGTCAAGATCCTGCTCATGCTTCACTTGGAACTGAAGAATGAGGTCCTTGTCCTTGTTGTCGAACTCCTCGATCTTGGAGGAAATGGCGAAGAACCGGGCGTCGGGGTGTGTCTGAATACCTGCATTAAGAAATTGTCCGTTAATGCGGTTCATTCCTTGCGAACGTCCAAAACAGCGTGCTGAGTAAAAGAATAAACTTGCCTTTGTCCTCAGGATCCTTGTAGTACTTCCCAGCCGTGTGCTTCCATTCTCCCGCAGCTCCCTCCGACTTCTTCCAGTCGGACACTACCCACCTCGAATCCCATGAATCTGCACAACAATAAGAGAATGTGCTCAGATCTCTCCAGATATCTCAAGGTACTAGGGAATTGTGCCGTTATAGAGCCGGTTCTAGCACAAATCGCACTCTTTCAATCACTGTAGCACCTACCGTCAAACTTCTCTTCGAAGTAAACCTTAGCTGAGACAGCTAGGCAGAGAGCCAGGAGGCACACAAATCGAAGAGCCTGCGCCATTGTAGCTAAGCTTGGAGATCCAACCCGTCAAGGCAACGAATTGCAAATTCGAGTCATGGATTACATAAGAGGATCTGGTGAGGTGACTGGTGGGGGGAGCTGGCACAGAGACTCGGTGGGTGGTTGCTTGGTTGGGTCGGTTGGTGCATCTAGAAACTTGTGCGGAAGCCAAGCCCAAGGGACAACCACAGCTGGAACTGGTTTTGGCGCCAAAGTCGAGAGAGCCACTCAGCCGTCGACAATGCTCGCGTGGGCCAATCACGAGAAGCCAACCACGTCAAAATGAGCATCCAGAAGCTGAGTGCTATAACCGTCGATCTAGTCGCTGAGAAATCGAAAGCCGTTGGCTGCAGCTAGACTTGCAAGTTTGTGTCGCATGAACTTCCTATTCTGCCGCTGACTAAGTCAAAATTTCGGAACTGTGTTACACCTTCGAAAATATAAATGCACTCCTACATAGAGAACTAAGGTGTGTTCGTAAGGGAATTCGGTTGTCATCGCTACACCTATACTTCACTTCCGAGCGGAGAGTTTGTAAAGTGAATGAAGCCTTGGACGAGGCTTGAGCAGTAAATGACGTGGCAATGGCTCCCAGAGTTTCACATTTGTGCCAGTCAGACCCAGAGAGGTGGAGGACACCACAACATTCGTTGCCACGTGGCGTAGATGCTGGCTTGATCAATGATCCAGGGCACTTCTCCAGCAGTCACGCGGAATCTCTTGCTGGCTGGAATCGGTCTTCAAGCCCCCACTCCAGCGTGGCATTCTGTTCCCTAGAATCCGACGTGGCAGGCCCACACCACCGAGCCAAACACCCCGTTGTCCAACCAAGCCACAATCATCCAGCACGCGCGCTTCGTGTTTGTGGCTGGCAGCTGGAGCTGCGAAAAGGGCAACGTGAGAATCCAGCCAGCAGAGGGGAGGGAGAAGTGAAGGCATCTCACAGCACATAATTCAAATTCATCTGCTATTTTTTTTCACATTAGTCGTACCCAAACCATACGAGAGGAATTATTCTCCCCTCATTCGCGCTCCTCCAACGACGCCATGGCTGCCATCGCCCACTCCGCGTCGCTTCTCTGCGAGGCCTCCCTCGCCGCCGCGCGTTCGGCTAGCTCGCTGCCGTCCCACTCAGGCCTGAAGGCCGAGCCCCGCGTGGCTGTCCGCAGCCTGCGCGCGCAGCGCGCCAAGACCGCCAAGCCCATGATGGTGCGCGCGAGCGCGGGAGCCACCGTGGAGGGATTCGAAGTGAAGGCGGTGCCGACGTCGCCGATCGAGGGGCAGAAGACGGGGACGAGCGGGCTGCGCAAGAAGGTGAAGGTTTTTCAGGAGCCGCACTACCTGGCCAACTGGATCCAGGCGCTATTCGACTCGCTGCCCGCGGAAGACGTGAAGGGCTCGCTGCTCGTGCTGGGCGGCGATGGCCGTTACTTCAACCGCGAGGCCGCGCAGGAGATCATCAAGATCGCCGCTGGTAACGGCGTCGGGAAGATTCTCGTCGGCAAGTGCGTACCGTACTTTGGCCTTCTCGACTCACCCCTTACTCCTTCGCTCCTTTTTTTCAAATTTCTCCCTCTGTTGCGCGCCACGCTCTCGTCTATCCCGCAACCCTTTCCCCTCTTCCACCCCGCTCATGCGTTTTCTGTCTGGAACACCTTATCGTTGTCTCCGTTCCCAGCCTCTCCGCTTCTTCTCACTTCCCGTTTCTTCCCCCGCTATCTCCGCTCTCTCCGCCTGCAGGGATGGCGTCATGTCCACGCCCGCCGTGTCGGCCGTCATCCGCAAGCAGAAGGTGAGGGAAAACACACGGCATGGCATGACAGCACGGGGCATGGGAAGGTCTGTTCACATTTCACAAACCACCAATTCAAAAGTGGGCAACGAATGCGCAGATTTGTTACTAATTGTAGCAACCCCCTCTCTCCGCTCCTGCGCGTTCCCGTGCGCGTCGCCCCCGCGTGCAGGCGTACGGCGGGTTCATCATGAGCGCGAGCCACAACCCGGGCGGGCCCAAGTACGACTGGGGCATCAAGTTCAACTACAGCAGCGGCCAGCCCGCGCCCGAGTCCATCACCGACAAGATCTACGGCAACACGCTCTCCGTACGTATCTGCGTCCCCCCACGCGCTCTCTCCGTACATGTCGCTTCCGCGACACGCTCGCCATACGTGGCACTTCAGCTGCCCGTTTCGCTCATCGCCAATGCACTGTTACATTTCTTCGCCAGTGTCCCCGCCGGTTTTCCCTCTGCGCGTCTCAACCTCCTCCCTTACCCACCCCCCACCTCCCTCCTGACCGCGTCCCCCTTGCGCAGATCAAGGAGATCAAGCAGGCGGAGATCCCTGACGTGGACCTGGCCAAGACCGGCACGACCAAGTTCGGGTCGTTCGAGGTGGAGGTCGTCGACCCCGTCGCCGACTACCTTGAGCTCTTCAAGGTACGCCGCTCGCCGCTCGCTCGCCGCTCGCGCGTTAAAGCTGCAAACTACCAAACAGAGAAATGCACACATCCCAAACGCTGCTGTTGCTGCTGCACCGCATCACATCCATTCCCCTTCCCCTCCATTTCTAACACCTTCCAACATCCATCCCCGTCCCCCATTCTCCCCCTCCCCCTCTTCCCCTCCTCCTCCCCTTGCCCCCTTCCTCCCCTTTCCCCATCGCAGCAAGTGTTCGACTTCGACATGATCCGCGCGCTCGTGACGCGCCCCGACTTCTCACTCAAGTTCGACGCCATGCACGCCGTCACCGGCGCGTACGCCAAGCCCATCCTCGTCGACGCGCTCGGCGCGCCCGAGTCGGCAATCATCAACGGCACGCCGCTCGAGGACTTCGGCGGCGGCCACCCCGACCCGAACCTGACCTATGCGGAGGAGCTCGTGAAGATCATGTACGCCCCCGATGCGCCCGATTTCGGCGCCGCATCGGACGGCGACGGCGACCGCAACATGATCCTCGGGAACAACTTCTTCATCACGCCGTCCGATTCCGTCGCGATCATCGCCGCCAACGCGCAAGCCGCCATTCCGTACTTCGCCGCCGGCCCCAAGGGCCTCGCGCGCTCCATGCCCACCTCCGCCGCGCTCGACCGCGTCGCGACGGGCCTAAAACTGCCGTTCTTCGAGGTCCCCACCGGGTGGAAGTTCTTCGGGAATCTCATGGACGCGGGTACGCTGAGCATCTGCGGAGAGGAGAGCTTCGGAACCGGATCGGATCACATTCGGGAGAAGGACGGGCTGTGGGCGGTGCTTGCGTGGCTGTCCATCCTCGCGTATCGCAACAAGGACGTGCCTGTTGGCGGGAAGCTGGTGTCGGTGGGTGACGTGGCGCGCGAGCACTGGGCGCAGTACGGGCGGAATTTCTTCTCGCGGTACGACTACGAGGAGTGCGCGTCGGAGGGCGCGAACGCCATGGTGGCGCACCTGAGGGAGATTCTCGCGGCCGCCAAGCCTGGGGACAAATACGGTGAGACGCGGTTGGGTGCGGTGAGGAGGGGGGATTGGGGGGTGAGGTGGGGGTGGGAGTGGGGGGTGTGTGGGGAGAATGCTGGGAATGGGGAAGGAGGTGGAAGGGGACAAGGATGGAGAGGGGCGGGTGGCTGGATGGTTTCTTATAACTCTCAAAAGGGACATGTGAGGGAAAGCAGAGGGAGTGAGTGAGAGAGCAGGGCACAGGATGGCAGGAGGATAGAAACATGATGAGTCGGCAAGAACCAACCAGACATGTCCAAAGGCCAGTCATTCAGTCCAAGGCACGAGGCACTGGTGCTGTCCTAACATGTCGTAACGAGGCGTGCACCAGTAGCATGGCCTCGTTACATCCATGCATGCCCCCACGCGGTGCTCGCTGTGCCTCGCTGCCCCCCGCCCGCCCCTTCCTCTATGCCTTCCATTTCCCGAGCACAGCACAATGCTTCTTTGCCGCCCTCTCCAATGCACCCCCCATACGCCCAACCCTCCCCTGTACCCCTAGGTGCATAAGAGTTGGCCCTGGCGGAAGACTTGGGGAACGTGAATGTGGGCCCGGTGGACGGCAGTGTCGCAAGTACCTCCCTTCTCCCTTGTCTCTCATCATCCTTTCGCCCCCTCCTTTCCCCCCAGCCGCCTACGAGCTAGCTCTGGCGGACGACTTTGAGTACACGGACCCCGGGGATGGCAGTGTGGCGAGGCAGCAGGGCATCCGCTTCCTTGTCTCTCAACACCCCCTTTCTAAACATCCCACATCCCGTCTCTATCTTCCATCCATCCGCCCATCTCCCTTCATGCAGGTGCATACGAGTTGGCGCTAGCGGACGACTTTGAGTACACGGACCCCGTGGATGGCAGCGTGGCCAGCCAGCAGGGCATCCGCTTCGTCTTCACCGACGGCTCCCGAATCATCTTCCGCCTCTCCGTACGTAGTCACCCACCGCCCCTGCCTCACCTGCACCACCTTCACAGCTTCGCCCTCACTGCACCTCCCTCACTGCACCTCCCTCACTGCACCTCCCTCACTGCACCTCCCTCACTGCACCTCCCTCACTGCACCTCCCTCACTGCACCTCCCTCACTGCACCTCCCTCACTGCACCTCCCTCACTGCACCTCCCTCACTGTTCACCCTCCCTGCTCAACATTCATTTGCATCATCTTCCGCCTCTCCGTACATGCTCTCACTCTCTGCACCTCTCTCTCTGCACCTCACTCTCTGCACCTCACTCTCTGCACCTCTCTCTCTGCACCTCCCTCACCGCCACGCCCTCACTGCCCTACCCTCGGGGTTTTGCACTACAAGCAACACTCCCACTACAAGCAACACTTCCACTACAAGCAACACTCCCACTACAAGCAACACTCCTACTACAGGCCTGCCCGGCCCTTGCCTCGCCCCCTCTCCTTGCCTCGCCCCTTCTCCTTGCCTCGCCCCCTCTGCTTGCCTCGCCCCCTCTCCTTGCCTCGCCCCCTCTGCTTGCCTCGCCCCCTCTCCTTGCCTCGCCCCCTCTGCTTGCCTCGCCCCCTCTCCTTGCCTCGCCCCCTCTCCTTGCCTCGCCCCCTCTGCTTGCCTCGCCCCCTCTGCTTGCCTCGCCCCCTCTGCTTGCCTCGCCCCCTCTGCTTGCACGCCTCTCTGTGCCAATGCTCATCTGCATGCCATGCACCCATCCTCCCATGCCACCTTCCTCCCACCCTCCCATCCTTTCTTAACATCCACCAGGGCACGGGCAGTACGAGCCGGGCCTTCCTTTCTACCAGTACTCACCTCTATCCCATGCACACATGCACCCACCCTCCCATCCTTACTTCACATCCATCAGGGCACGGGCAGTGCAGGCGCCACCATCCGAGTGTACATGGAGCAGTATGAGCCGGACGTCTCTCTTTGCCCATGCTCACCTCTACCCCATCCTCCCACCATCCCACCATCCGATCCATGCATACACACATCAGGGCACGGGCAGTGCAGGAGCCACCATCCGAGTGTACGTGGAGCAGTACGAGCCGGACGTGGCCCGCCATGGCCTCGACGCCCAGGAGGCCCTCAAGCCCCTCATCGGTGAGCCACCTGCGTCCCTGCCTGCCTGCCTGCCTGCCTGCCTGCCTGCCTGCCTGCCTGCCTCCCTCTCTGACTTGCCTGCCTGCCCACCTGGCTTGCTCACGTTGAACCTTCATAGCAACGCCCTCGTTCCTCTCACACTTGTGACCAAATGCCTACGCACAGGACGCCGTGCCCGCCTGCCTCCTTGAATGTTTACCTGCTTGCCTGACCTCCTGCCCTACTCCTCACCAGTGACCTGCCGCTCTCATTGCTTGCCTGCCAGACTTCCTGCTTTCCTGCTTGCCTTCACGACTTGCTCACTTCCTCCCCATTCACCTCCCTGACACTCTGGGAGAGTGGCAGCATTCTCCATGTGATACCCCTCCTTTGCATAGTGATCGCGCCCTCTCCTCACTCAACTCATGTGTGTGCTCTCTTCCTGCTCTTCCCCCCTCTCATGCAGACATTGCTCTGTCGGTGTCGAAGCTCCAAGAGTTCACTGGTCGCGACAAGCCCACCGTCATCACCTAGACGCTGCGCCTTTGCACCCCTCAGCACCCCTCTGCACCCCCCCCTCTGCACATCCTAGCGTTAGACTATGGTAGCTCTTGTGAACAAACCTTGCCTGCAATAAGTGCAGACATTTTATAGGGCTTGTGCTAGTTTTTGTGTTTGTGCTTGCACCTGAATTGTCATGTTTTCCTCTCATATAACTCGCATCACCAGTTTTTACATACCTAGAGTGCAATCTGAATGAAAAGGGAGGAAAACACGATAGCAGGGAGGGCTTCTGACTGGTAATGCCAAAGTGTGTTAGAACGGGAAAAAACTTTGCTGATGTCCAAGCTTTCAAGGTAGGACCTTAGTCAAGACATCCGACTCAGCGACTGATGTTGAGCGTTCGGCCTGGCATCCTCAACTGGCCAATTGGTATTGGGTAGAATTGCACTGCTACCCACCAACTGCCCTACTGGTAGCCGGTGGATGCAGCTGCACACGTGATGATGAGATGTGGGGTTTAAATGAGCTGTCTCTTTTCACACCAGTGCTGCAGGGCCTAACTATGAGGCGCATGCGAAACAGACTGGAACCGACAACAGCAGCTGGTGAATAAAAGCATATCGCATTAAAAGTATTGCGAGGCTTCTTCCCACACAAGAGCAGGGTTGGCCACTTTATCCATGGTCAGATCAACATGCTGGTCCCCGGGCAGAAAAACATACTCACACGGCACTTTATCCTCCACATACCCCTGTACCACCGCCACTCCTTGCACCACATTATATGGAAACGGCTTCGGCGCGCGCGGGTGGTCGGCGAGTTTCGTCCCGGTTAGGAAGTTAGTCACCCCGGTTTCTAGGGAAGGCATTGTGGCTCCCATGCACGATGCACTGATCCCGAGGGGCTCACCCAGAACCCCCCCTACAGTCACATGCTTCACATTGAACCGCTTCCGGAGGTTGTGTGTGAATATAGCGCAGGCTGAGAAGCAGTTTCCGTTTGTGACTATAACGAGCGGCCGGTTCCCAAACACCGGGCCGCGAAATGGCACCTTCTCAAGCCCGGGAAACACGGCGAGCTTGAACAAACCCGAGTACACTCCGGTCTGCCCGTCCGGCGAAAACTTTTCCTCCAGAAACGGCTTGAAATCGCGCGCGCTCTTAACCGGCGTGGTCTCGTCAACCCTCACATACTTATCCCACTGGTAGAACGAGGTGAGCTGCTGGTCGAGCAATGAGAGCATCAAGGCATTGGAAATGAGCAGCTGCTGCGGCATCTGCACTCGGCCCTTGGGGGCTTTCTGCTTGCCGGCGACAAGGCGGAGGAGGAGGTAGGCGATATCGGCGTAGCCCCCGCCGTTGCCACTCACGTCCATTAGTATGCGCCTGCCATGCCTGGGATGGGGGTGGAGAGGGGGGAGGAAGAGTGGGAGAAGAGGGGAAAGGGGCAGGGAGTGTAAGCTCTATGCTTGCCGGCCACGAGGCGCAGCAGCAGGTATGCGGTGTTGGCATAACCACTGCCATCGTTGCCACTCACTCCATGATGATGTGCGTGCCGTGCCTGGTGGGGAAACGGGAAAGACGGAGGAGTGCGGGGAGGGAAGAGAGAGGAGGAAGCTTCTGAGTCGCCTTTAGATGCGGTTAACAAGCAAAAACGGAGGTGTCGGGGAATAGATGGGGCGGGGAAAGGTGGATGGAGAGAACAGGATGATGAACTCACTGGTTGGCGAGATCAACGGCTGTGGAGATCTCAGCGAGCAGGAAGGCAATGAGGGCTTCATCTGAGCCGTCCAATGCTGGCAGGAAGGTGTGCAGCCAGATTACTGCTGTGGTATTGTCTGCTAGCAGGTAGACCTGGGGGAGGGGGGGAAGCAGGGACGGGGGAAAGGGGGAAAAAGCAGAGCTGAGGAAGTTGGTGGTGCATAGAAATGCCATTGCGAATTGCTATGAGGATGCCCCCCCGTAACATGCACTGCAGTGTGCAGTGTGCAGTGTGCAGTGTGCTGTGTGCAGTGTGCAGTGTGCAGAGTGCAGTGTGCAGTGTGCAGTGTGCAGTGTGCAGTGTGCAGTGTGCAGTGTGCAGAGTGCAGTGTGCAGTGTGCAGTGTGCAGTGTGCAGTGTGCAGTGTGCAGTGTGCAGTCTGCAGTGTGCAGAGTGCAGAGTGCAGTGTGCAGTGTGCAGTGTGCAGTGTGCAGTGTGCAGTGTGCAGTGTGCAGTGTGCAGTGTGCAGTGTGCAGTGTTCAGTGTTCAGCTGCATGCCACCCGGGCCACATGGCATGTGAGAAGTTGTTTTACTCGCCTCAGAAATTCGACTCATTTCAAACAGTTTTCAGCAACCTCAGACCTCTGTGCGCTACCCAGGGCGCAGTGCATGTCGGAACGGCACCACAGCACTCGGCACCACAGCACTCGGCACCACAGCACTCGGCACCACAGCACTCGGCACCACAGCACTCGGCACCACAGCACTCGGCACCACAGCACTCGGCACCACAGCACTCGGCACCACAGCACTCGGCACCACAGCACTCGGCACCACAGCACTCGGCACCACAGCACTCGGCACCACAGCACTCGGCACCACAGCACTCGGCACCACAGCACTCGGCACCACAGCACTCGGCACCACAGCACTCGGCACCACAGCACTCGGCACCACAGCACTCGGCACCACAGCACTCGGCACCACAGCACTCGGCACCACAGCACTCGGCACCACAGCACTCGGCACCACAGCACTCGGCACCACAGCACTCGGCACCACAGCACTCGGCACCACAGCACTCGGCACCACAGCACTCGGCACCACAGCACTCGGCACCACAGAACTCGGCACTCACGGGAATCAGAGCTGTTGCTGTGGACAGTTTCTGCGCCCCTGCCAGGTCATTCGGCGCCGGTGCTGACGAGGCACGCGGTGCTGACGAGGCACGCCCGTCACCGGCAGCAGCAGCAGCAGCACTACTACCAGCATCAGCAGAGGCAGCAGATTCAGCCGACTCAGCAGAATCATCAGCAGAATCAGCAGCAGCAGCGGCTGCTGCCTGGTATCGGGACCGGAGCAGCAGGGGGGCGGCAGGGGGTGGGGGAGGGGGGCGCAGCAGGGAGGGGCGGGCGTCGAGGTCGGGCCTTGGGAACTCCACAGCTAGAGTCGGCCACCCAGACGCTCTCTCCCTGCTGCTCTCGCCCATTCCCACGCGGCTGCTGCCCCATACCACTGATCCTACTGTGCCCTCTGCTCCCTTCTCTGTGCCTTCTGTCCCGCCTGTGCTCCCTGCACTCTCTGCACTCTCTGCACTCTCTGCACTCTCTGCACTCTCTGCACTCTCTGCACTCTCTGCACTCTCTGCACTCTCTGCACTCTCTGCACTCCCTGCACTCTCTGCACTCCCTGCAATCTCTGCACTCTCTGCACTCCCTGCACTCTCTGCTCCGTTCCCTGTTCTCAATGTGCTCTCTGCCCCCTCGGTGCTCTCTGCTGCGTCATCTGCAATCCATGCCCCCATGCCCCGAGCTCTTTTCTTAAGCCTCTCACTCAGCAGAGGCCCCGGCCGTCTCACTCTCCCCTCCCCCTTCCCATCCTCTCCCCGCCCCCCTTCCCCCTGCCCCCTCTCCCCCCACCGCTCCCCCTCCCACTCCTTCTCCGCATCCCCAGCACCTTCCCCCTTCCCCCCATCCGTTATCAGCGCCATCTCTTCCCCCCCTGCCCTGCTGCGCGCCCCCAAAGCCCCCCCAGCCGCCCCAAACCCCCCAGCTCTCGCAGCAGCAGCAGCAGCAGCAGCAGAGGGAGAAGCAGTAGAGGCAGAAGCAGTAGCAGAGGCAGCAGCGGCAGCGGCAGAGGGGGTGGGTTGGCGAGGGGTGGCGCAGTTTGCCGCCCAGTAGGAGGTGGCGGAGTCGAAATTGGTCGGCAGCACTGCCACCCATGGCACTGTTATTTGGACTGGTGTGGCACTCGTGCTGTCATGGGGGGAGAGAGGGGGGGGGAGGGGAAAGAAGAGAGGGGATAGGGACGGACAGGGTTACACAAGGTAGCACAGCCACCCACGGCATTGTTATTTGGACTGTCGTGGCGCTCGTGCTGTCAATGGTGGGGGGAAGTTCGGGTAGCAGTGAAGGGGGGAGCGGGAGAGGAGGGAGCGGGGGAGGGGGGAGCAGGAGACAGTGGCACATGGTGTGAGGTATGAGAGGAGTGACGGGAATTGAATGATGCATGCCCCATGTCTCGTGTATGTCATGCATGTCTCATCCATGCCCCATGTCTCATGCATGTCATGCATGTCTCATCCATGCCCCGTTCCCCCTCCCCTCTGCCCCATATCCCCCCACATCCCCACACCCCCATGCCGCACGCCAAAGAACAAGACACCCCCATGCCGCACGCCAAAGAACAAGACACCCCCATGCCGTCCGCCAAAGAACAAGACACCCCCCCTCCTCCCCCACTCACGCCAGCAGCAGCTCCACCACCACACTGTCATTCCCCCTGTCCCCTGCCCATACCCGCCACATCCCCATGGCCCATGCAGCAGTAGAAAGAACAAACACCCCCTCCCCCCCACACCCTCCTCACGTACTCGCCCCAGCAGCAGTTCCACCACAACGCTGTCATGCCCCCTGCCCCATATTCATGCCCCCTGCCCCCAATCCTCAACCTCAAGACCCATGTTCCGTGCCCCACCCCACCCCTCCAACTCATGCCAGGCGCAGCGCCACCACAACACTATCATTTGTTAGCGCCAGGCTCCTCTGTGCCAGATGGCTCTTGCCCCATACCCAACTGCAAAGAACACCACCCCTCCCCACCCCTTCCCACCCCTCTCCACCCCTTCCCACCCCTCCCCACCCCTCCCACCCCCCTTCCACTCACGCCAGCAGCAGCTCCACCACAACGCTGTCATTCGTCGGCACGAGGCTCCGCTGTGCGAACGCGCCCTGAGTCGCAATCACAGCGCCCGTCGCTTTAGACACAACCCTTCTTGCAAAGAGCAGATTGAAGCGCACGCCCGAGTCGCGGTACTGGCCCACGTAGCGCCCCGCCCACTCGAGTAGGTAGGTCATGGCGGGGGCGCCGTTGATGGTGGTCACCTGCGCGTCCTCGTAGCGGTAGTAGTCGAACTGGTGGAGGACTAGGGCTGCCACGTCTAGGCCTTCTAGCAGCACTGGGGAAGGTGGGGGGAAGGGGGATGGGGGGTTGGGGGGGGGGGTTGGTGGAAGGGGGTTCGGGAGAAATGGGCGGAAAGGTGGGGAAAGGGGGGAATGGAAACGATGGCGTGGAATGGGCATAGGGGAAAAGCGTGCGGAGGCCGCCACTCACGCGAGGACGGCGCGACGCGGATGATCTGGTTACCGTCCTCGACGACTGCAACGAGCGGCAGCGGGAGGTAGTAGGACGCGGTTCGGTGGAAGCACGCGGAGCTGAACATCGTGTGGCCGTCGTTAAGACTCATTAGTGCGCGGTAGATTAATGTCTGGAACCGCATCAGACTCTTAATCCCCTTCCCCGCTAACGCCTTCTCTCGAATCGCGCGCAGGTAGGATACTATATCGACGTCGCTCGGGAGACGCTCATCGGGTGAGTTAATCGCGATGTGTCTGTAAACGTAGAAGCTCGCTAGACCGTTGATGATCGAGTCTATAACGGGGATATCGCGCGACGCTTGGAAGCGGAAGGAGCGGAGGCAGTGCTTTGCTTGTGACGGCGTCGCGAAGCCCACGCCGACAGTCCCGGGCACGACGCGCGCGGTCGCCGCCAGCTGCTCCGCCAGCAGTGCGCATTGGTCGCCTTGCAGGCGCGCCTTTGCGGAGATTTGCCGGGGGACGGGAGAGAAGACGGCGGAGAGGAAGAGGGGGAGGAGGAGGGAATGGAGGGATCGGCGGAGGCGGAATCGCCGCGGGGCGCCGGCAACGAGATGTTGCCGCGGAAGAGACGACTTGCGTTGACTCGGCGCGCAGTGGGACCCAGCCGCTGCCACGTCAGCCATGCGAACGAGTGGTTCAGGTCAGCGATTACTGTCTGAAGGTGCTGCGACAAGCGAAGAGTGACTACGTAACTAATCTTGAGGCTCTTAATCTTTGAGAGACCCTTGCACGCGAAATTTGACGACAGCATAGAAACGAGCGAAACGAGGCGAAGCTCTCGAAACGGCCCATTGTGCGACGAGCGCGACGAGTAACGACTGCGACCCGAGTCAAGCTAGCGCCCTCCAAATCACCATCCCGGATGGCAGCGCTTGTCGAAAAAGCCTATCACTCACGGCAGCCATGGCGCGTGCTGCACACGCGCCTACCAGAGGCTGCCTTACTCGGATCGCATCGCATGCTTCGAGGCTGAGGCTGGCACTGCTAGATACTGCGTAAGCGGGTCGGCGTATTAACGGCCACGTGGAATCGCGGAGCAACAAACAATATCCGATTAACACAGACCACACGTCTGCTCCAAAGACTAGGAACCTGGTGCAATGCACCTTGTCCGCGTGATTACGCGAGGTTCGTCGTTGCGCGGCGGCTGGGGGGAGGGTGGCGCGAATTAGGTGGGTGGTATGGGGCGGACGAGAGGTGCTAATTTAGCTCGTCCCTGCGGGGGGAGAATCAGCACCTTGCCTGCGTGGGGGAAAAGTTCGTCCCGATTCGCGAGCGGGGTAATATGAAGCGGGGGCGCTAGGAGCGCCATGTGGCCAATCAGGATGCAGAACCAGCCCCACCAAGACCTGCCCTGGGCGCTTAGGCGGTGATGCTTGTAGCGATCGCGCTCCGGTGTGTGCGGTGCAGAGCAATGTGCTACAGTGCGAGAAAATGTACACTGCGAAAACGACTAATAGCCATCATCTACAGCTGAGTGGAAACATAAAACATAGAATTCTAAGGCAGGAAAACCCTTCCATCGAAGCATCTACTTGTCAGCAGCAGTGGCAGGAGGACCCTTCCAGCGAAAGTTGTCCGCGTATGACTTGGGCTGCATGGAGGGACAATAAAAACAGATTTCATAAATATGCAAGCTAGATGTGGCTCAAGAGCGCACTGGATCTTGAACAGCACAAGAAATATTATAATATTTAAACACACATTGTGTTTTTTAAAATTGTGTATTGTGAAAGCGAAGCTGCTTGTACTGCACAATTGGCATCGTCGAAGCGCGCTAAACGCCCTTCTCCAACTACAAAAACCGTGGGTTGGAGCTCATTTCCCTCCACCCACGTTTCTCTATTTCAAACGGCTCACTCAACATTTCCGCTCACGTAGTCTTTCTCTCCTTCCAAGCTGGCTAGAACAAAATCGCTTCCTAGAGGCGAGTCACCCTCGACTTTACTTAGCGACATTTTTAACTTCAACCGATCAACGATGGCACCGACGACGACACTTAACAACGGGAACTCGTCCAACCCCGCTTCCGACTCCGACCGTAACACCCGCGATTTTGCGGGCGACCGCCGTAACAAGCGCCGGGCAGAAGATGGACCGCCCGCCCCGACTGCAGTGGACGTGCTGCTGGGCGGGCTCGAGGTCAACAAAAGTGCCGACGCCCAGCAGCACCCTTCGGCCCCTGTGGCGCCAGTGGCGCCAGTGGCGCCTGTGGCACCTGCGGCGCAAGTGGCGACGGCAGCTGGCGCGGCACACGTACCTGACGCCGAGCACACGCCAGCACCCGCGGCTGGACCGTCGCGTCAGCGCCAGAGGAGGCGGACTGCGGTCTCCTCGTCTGACGCGACGACCGCCCCTGCACTGACGCAGGCGTTGACCCCGGACCAGGTCAACGCGCTGCTATCCCTTCTACAGCAGCAGCCCGTCAGCGTTACAGCTGCGGAAACTGCACTACCCGCTGCATCTGCGTCGGCTAAAAAAGAAAACGCGAAAAAAGAAAAAGGCACGCGAGGAGCACGTACGAACCGGCATGACAACGACGCAGCGACAGCCGCTCCCCCTGCTCCGGCGGTCGACAACGACACCGACGACTCTGAAGATGAAGCTGGTGAGGCTCCAGTCAACACTGCTAATTTTATTGGCACGGAAAACCTCCCCCCCCCTTCCTTCTTCTAACCTCACCTTTTCGGCGGCGACTTTCGTCAACGACTCTGTGCGAGAGCAAGCGGAGCTGCTGGAGGACTTGCGTGCGTACCTGCTGCACGCGGAATACAAGGCGCAGCGAGGCGACTCGGCGGGCGGACTCGAACTCATCTCACACGCGCTCAACCTCATCTCGGGGCGTTTCGAGGTGCTTCAAGTGGAGGACGCTTCCGACTTCCGCACGGCGAAACGCTTCAAACTGTACCAGCAGAAGAGCCTGCTGACCTCTCGACCCTTCAAGCAGGCGGTCGCGGATATGGCTGCAATGGACCGCGCGGCAAGTGCATACGCTCGTGTCACCCGCGGCGGAAACAACGGGCCGATGCCGTTCTTACCCAAGCGGGCCCCCCCGCCCACGGCCAATTGTCGTGGGTTTTGGGGCTCGTGCTTCCGCTGCGGCCAGCCGGGACATGTGGCAAGTGCCTGCCCTAGGAACGGGCATGGCGGCCAAGGACCCGCTCCGGTGGTGTAGGAGCGGGCCAAGGGATTAGGCGCCTTGGGCGCTAGGCACGGTGCACTCTTGAGTGCGGAAACCGTGGGCAGCCCTAGGGGTTTGCGATGGCAAGAGGCCAGCCCTAGTGAAGGGTAGTAATAGGCTTTGGGCCTAGGATAGGGAAGGGGAACAACAACCCCTCGGTCCCATGTATTTGGCCACCCGGTGGGGTGATGAATGCTAGGAAGCATTGCAATGTGTGTTGGTTGATTTAATAAAAAGTTCCTGATTTACTATTTTGCAAAGAGCCTCTAGACACACAGAGGAGGTGCAGAGCATGAGAGAGAGAGAGGAAGAGAGAGAGAGAGAGAGAGAGAGAGAGAGAGAGAGAGAGAGAGAGAGAGAGAGAGAGAGAGAGAGAACAAGACAAAGCACGGTGGACACGCATGTCCATGGTTCAAAGCACCAGCCCACATGCACTAAAGGCATGCACAACCACGTCTTACCAAGTGGATGACAAGGCGAGCAAAAAAAAAAAAAAAAAAAAACGCGATGTGATGTATCGGAAAAAGGGCTAGCCACGGTGCTAGATGAGACGGGGGTCCAGAGAGTGACACCTACTTGCCTACCATGATCAGGGTGCCCATGGAGCAAAAAGAAAAGAAAAAAAAAAAAACCAAGAAGAAGAAGAAGAAGAAGAAGAAGCGTCGGCGCGCGCACGACATATTTGTTGTCCTTTCGATAGATAGGCAATCTCATTCACACCATTGATCAACGATTGCGCGTACATGCACACGCACATGCATGCGTCAAATGGAACTCCCAACCCTACCCCATTTGCCTCAATTACAGGAGCACGACAGTGCGAGGCGGTATGTTACGACGATCCGTATGAATTTGCCGTCACGGACAAAACCATTACACAAATGCGCGGTCGACTTCGTGCGACCTTTGCGTGGTGGAGCTCCTGGTGTCCCTGCAGCCTCGTCCTTTCCGTCATCGCCAGGGGTTATTGGCTACCATGGAGCCACGGCCCACCACAACCCTTCCACGATCGCAACCATGTCGGGGCAAACACGCATGATACGTTCACGCGTACCGCTATCCAAGAACTCCTAGAGACCGGAGCAGCAGTCCAAATGCCCGCAACGGAGCTGACGTGTATAAGTCCACTCAATGTGGTCAAGCAAAAAGACAAATGCAGACTCATTCTTGATCTGCGGAAAGTCAACGCAAGCTTAATCGTCCCCAAGTTCAAGTACGAGGGGCTCAACCGCGTGGCGGACCTGGCACGCGTTGGGGATTGGATGTTCTCCATTGACCTTAAATCCGGTTACCACCACATCGACATCCACCCATCATGCTGGAAGTTCCTCGGCTTCGAATTTGGGAGGCGCACGTACGCATTTCGTTCACTGCCATTTGGCCTCGCGACAGCTCCATTCGTCTTCACGCAGCTCAACAAGCAACTGGCTCGGCGCTGGCGAGAACAAGGCATCCGAGTCATCCCTTACGTGGACGACATCTTATTCCTCTGTCAGTCGAAAGACCATGCGCAAGCGATCTGCCAGCGTGTGATATTGGACCTTAAAGAGGCAGGACTCGTGATAAACGCGAAGAAATCACAGCTGTCACCATCGCAACGCCTACGATTTTTGGGTGTAGAGCTGGAAACCGATACCGGTCGATTCTCCATCGGTCCCGACCGACGAGCCTCACTACATGCAACCATCCAAAACCTCCTGAGCGCAAGCAAGGCATGCCGACCAGTCCCGGTCCGCCATGTGGCCAGAATCACAGGCATGCTCGCATCAATGGGGGTCGCACTTGGCGCGACCGCTCGCGCATTCAGCCACGCCATGTTACAAGTAATCAACGACGCACCGTCATGGAAAAGCAACGTGGTCATCCCCCCAGCCGCAGCAGAGGAGCTACACTTTTGGCTTGAGGAGTTCGACCGGTTCAACGGTGCACCTTTCCACGTCCGGAACAGCTACGATGCGGTAATTCATGTGGATGCCAGCTCTCATGGTTGGGGCGCCACTCTAACTACATTTCCGGGTGGCCTCGAAGAAGCGAGCGCAACCATGTCAGGGCCACTACAGGCAACGTCCAGCACGCGGCGGGAGATCGAAGGCGTCCTTTGGGCGCTCCAAACGTACGCCAACAAGATCAAGCAAAAACACGTTCTCGTGCGGGTGGACAACCAGGGCGTATTCTTCATCCTTCGCAAAGGCGGCTCTCACAGCTCTGACCTCACAATGGCTTGCAAAAGCATCATCCGAACATGCATGGGGCTCGGCACGCGCTTGATCATTGAATGGATCCCGCGAGAGCTCAACTCACATGCTGACGAGCTTTCAAAAATGGTCGACCACGACGACTACGCGTTGAAGAAGCCGTGGTTTCGCATCTTAGAACGTCGTTGGGGTCCGCATTCCATCGACCTCTTTGCAAACTCTCACAACACCCAACTCTCGCGCTTTTGCACCAAGATCCCCCACCCGGAAGCCATCGCAGTTGATGCGTTCTCGATCGCATGGACAGCCGAAAACAACTTCGCCTTCCCCCCACCCCAACTGGTCCCAGCCGTCCTCCACCATGCACAACGCACCCATGCATCACTCACATTAATAGTCCCGCACTGGCCAGGCGCAAGTTGGTGGCCACTTTTGCAACCCTCCCTATGTACTTGGGCTCCACACATCCACGCGCACATCCCTCTCACACACGGAAGCCAATGCCTAGATACAGGGTCCCATTCTACTGCCTTCTCGGGCACGGGACTACCGCATAGCCCAATCATTGCACTGCGAGTGGTATTTGACTAATGCATATTGTCCACTCCTGTGTTCAGATTTGCTCCCAAAGTTACACGACCAACTGATCAAAATGCTCGCGCAGTCACGCGCCGATTCTACGATCCGGACATACGAACCATACTGGGCCAAGTTTCGAGCATTTTGCACAAAAGTGGATCTCTCCTTTCTTCCAGCTTCCGACATGACACTCGCACTATACCTGGTTCACGCAATCCGACGCAAAGCCACCCTGTCCGTAGTGCAGCTGACGTGCTCGGCAGTAAGCTTCGCCCATCGCATGACTGGGAACAAATGCCCAACAATCGGTCCGTTTACCACCCAAGTCCGCGACTGTGCAAAACGACACTGCCCCCGCCCTACTCGTCTGAAGGAACCCGTATCGATCCAACAAGTCCGCGACATGGCCGGGAGTTACCTGCAGTCTGACGACCCTGCGGAATTTCAGAAAGGGCTGATCCCCATCCTCATGTACTCAGGATTTCTGCGATACTCCGACCTAGTGGCCATACAATGGCAAGACATCCAATTCGACGAAGAGTTCATGTGGATCCTCATACCACACTCTAAGACCGATCAGGCCGGTCACGGAACATGGATACCCATTGCAGCAACGACAGACCCTTGTTGCCCAGTGCGCTGCACCCGACGCTTCATCCAACTCGCCGGCTATGGTCCTCAGTCAGAGGGACCGTTGATTCGTGTCTTCGGGCACGCTTCAAGCAGCAAAGGCCAAGCGAAGCCGCCTTCATACACTACAATTCGGAACTGGTGTAAGGAAGCTTTCGCAAAAGTTGGTCTGGGAGAGCTGCAGCTCGGCACTCACTCTTTCCGAAAAGGCGCGGCCACAGTAGCAGCCAACACTGGAGTGCCAGACAGAGTCTTCAAACGGCTGGGCAGATGGCGAAGCGACACAGCTAAGGAAATGTACGTCACGCCATACGTCGAGCCTCTCATCACAGCATCCCGCAACCTGCAAGATCCGATGCAGGCGGTGTCTTCGGCGCAACACACAGAGGCGCTCGTACGCCATAGGAGGCCCCCGCTGCCCATGTCTCAGAGACCCCAGTTGTAATGAGAACGATGCCAATTGATAAAAATAAGAAAGCAAGCTTTCTCAATATTATAATTTTTAAACACATTGTGTTTTTTAAAATTGTGTATTGTGAAAGCGAAGCTGCTTGTACTGCACAATTGGCATCGTCGAAGCGCGCTAAACGCCCTTCTCCAACTACAAAAACCGTGGGTTGGAGCTCATTTCCCTCCACCCACGTTTCTCTATTTCAAACGGCTCACTCAACATCCCCACCACCCACCCCAGCGTAGAACGCCTTGCTAATGCCACTTGGATAGGGTACATCTTAGCTAGGGATATTAGCATGCACTAGCTTGTGTTCAATCTCGATGCAAATGTTGTAATAAGCCAGTTGTAATGAGAACGATGCCCAGTTGTAATGAGAACGATGCCAATTGATAAAAATAAGAAAGCAAGCTTTCTCAATAGCAAGCATGAGAAAATCTGCGTGCCATGTTTCGTGGGTGCAGGAAACTGGGCAGCGGGTCTAAGGGTCTAGAAGAGCAGAGGGGGAGTAGGGTGTAAACTATACGCAGTTTTACCTTCTTAATTGGCTTCTGCGGCTCGAGGACCTGAAAACACAGAGGCGACACGAGGGAAAAAACTTAAGAAAAAAGGTTATCCCAGGCAGAGACTTGTCAGCCATGTCGCACAACAACATTGACACAGGGATTGAAACGAGAAACAAGCATGATGAAGCAATGGGGGCAGTTGACATTTACACAACCTGCTGCTGAACCACCTTCATGCTACCCCCGGCACCATTCTGCCGAATACCTGATGGTGCTGCCACGTACCTGATGGTGCTGCCACGTACTTGGCACCAGTAAAAGCCTCAGCCCCACGTTCAAGAAAGTTAGCAGTGCCACATGCCTGCTACTTCTCAATACCTGCTATTTTTCACTACCTGGTATTGCCAGCCATGGCGTTCGACAAAGTCAACGGCGTCCTGCTTGGAGTGGAAGGAGAGGGCTGAGTCAGCCACACATGACATGGGGTCCGCTGTTGATGTCCACCCCATCAGGGGGTTCTCCCACCTGCATACACATCAAGAGTCACACAATGCACTTATCAGTCGACTAAAAAAAAAGGAACGGGCAGAGTCAGCCACACATGCCATGGGGTCCGCTGTTGATGTCCACCCCATCAGAGGGTTCTCCCACCTGCATACACACATGCACATTACAGCACACAGAGATGCAATCAAGAGACACAGTGCACATGGCAACATGCACGCAGATGTGCACGCAGACATGTGCACGCAGACATGTGCACGCAGACATGTGCACGCAGACATGTGCACGCAGACATGTGCACGCAGACATGTGCACGCAGACATGTGCACGCAGACATGTGCACGCAGACATGTGCACGCAGACATGTGCACGCAGACATGTGCACGCAGACATGTGCACGCAGACATGTGCACGCAGACATGTGCTAAGATACGTACATACCCCAGAGGGTATGCGCATCAAATAATTTTCACAACAACAAAAGCCTGAACTGAATCTCACTTCTGCGTGGTATCAAATCGAATCTTCCACTGTCCATGCCGCCCCATGCCCTGCTGCGACGCGGCTCGCGCGGGACTGTACACAACCACCTGCAAAAAAATTCCCCGCCACGTCAGCAACGCAGCCGCGGAAGCGCGGAAACCAAAGGGTGATGGGGGGAGAGGGGCGCGCGGGAATGTGAGGGAGAGGGAGGAGAAACGGCAGGGGGAGGCAACGGGGACGACGTTGGCGCTGGATGGTCGGCGCGATCCGCGCGCGAGGCGGCTGTTCTGAGCGGACGAAGCGGGTTGATATAAGCACAACGCGAACTAGCTCCGTTACCACCCATTCCGAACCCCCCCCCCCCCAAGTTTAGGGCCACGATCCCCGAAGCCGCACCTTCCGCTGGAGTTGCTCCTTGGGAATGCCGGAAACCTCCGCCGCTTCCGCCTTCCCCACTGCGGAACGCTGCGCGGAGGTCGTCAGCGCGCGGAGCTGCGGGAGCGCCGTGCGCGCGAGGGAGAAGCCGCGGCGGTAAAGCGCGGCGGCCATGGCGGCGGCAAGAGCGGTGGATGCGGGCAGTGCAGCGAGTCGCAGGGTGTGAGCGGGAATGAAACGGCTAGCGGCGGATGCGGCGACGCTCGCTGCGAGAAGGAGGATGACCTTGGAGTGGTGCTCTTTGCTTGGCTTGTGAAAACAGGTCGCAGCTGCAGCACTTCGGTGATCATCACTGAGCTCGATAAGAACCTCCCCGAGCCTAGAGCGCGCGATCAAATCAATACTGCCTAGTTAGCATGCTATTAAGGCAAGAAAGTACCACCTACACAAGGTCAATTCTACCACAACAAAATTCCTTCCTAACAGCAAATCCTAATGTCCTAGCACATTTACAAAACCACACACCCGGTGCGCTTACAAAGTCGACCTGACTCCTACATCAGCTAGTTAATCATACCAATGTTGTGCCATAGCCCCCCTTTCCCATATGAGAGACACAACATACGGTACTATTTGTCGTGCAAAGGCATGGTTGGAACTGCTATTACCTACACTTGCCTCATTTCCAGCCATTTATTCCATAAATCACCGTACCACACCGTTTGCAACAGCGTTACGAAATGGTACAGCACCCGCCCTTCGCCGCTTCATTGGACGGTGCTGCCGCCGCTCCCGCTGCCCCCGCTTTCTTCCCCGCCGCTGCCGCCTCGCTCGCCCCAGCCCCAGCAGCCGCCTCCTTAGCCTTCCTAGCAGCTTCCTCTTCCGCCTGCTGCTTCTTCTTCTTCTCCTCCTCAGCCTTTTCTTTCACCTCCTTCTCAGCCTTCTCCTTCGCCTCCTTCTCCAGCCGCTCCTTCTCCTTCTGCGCCTCCTGCTTCCCCTCCCACTCAACCACCGCATCGGCCGCCGCCTCGCAGATATCCATCAGCGCCGGGATCACCTCCTCTGTAAGATCCGGCCGATCTCGGCGGTCCATTTCCGCGCACCACAGCCCCAGGTTAGCGAGATCCAGCGCCAGGTTCGGCGGCCACTCGCCGGCTCGGGGATCCAGCACCACTGTCAACTCCTCCTTCTCCACCATAGCATCGATCCTCTTCAGGTTCGGCACCTCCCCTACCAGCATCTGCAGCAGCACCACCCCGAACGAATACACGTCTGATTTCGGCCCGAGGTACCCCCTCCTCGCGCACAGATACTCAGGATCGACATAATGCTCCGTCCCGACAATGACTGATTTCCGCACGACGTGGGAGTGGCCGGGAGCAAGGTCGCCCATGAGGCGAGCGAGCCCCACGTCCCCGAGCTTGGCGGTGAAGTGGTCGTCAAGGAGCACGTTGGCCGGCTTCACATCGCGATGCACGATGGGCGGCTTGCGCGTGTGCAGGTGCTGCAGCCCTGCCGCAATCTGGTGGAGGGAGTAAAGGGCAGGGGGGAAGGGTACAGGAATAAAGGAGATGAAAGAGGGAGGGCGGAGTGAGTGGAGCAGCGGGTTTCATGTGGCGATGCATGATGGGCGGCTTGCACGTGTGCGGTGCTGCAGCCTTGCTGCGATCTGGTGGGTGTGAGTGGATGGAAGCGAAAGAAACGAAAGGAAGAGAGCCTCTTACCACCCAAGCCACACCCTAGATCAAACCGTTAACCAAGAACCATCACCCTGAAACCTAACCCCCAACCACTCACCTCCATAGCAATGCGGCAGCGCTCGAGCCACTGCAGCGGCGGCACCCCCCCAATACACAGCAGGCGGTCCTCGAGGGAGCCGTTGGCCATGAACTCATACACCAGCAAGCGGTCCTCCCTGCAGTACCCCACTCCACCCCACCCCACTGCACCCCACCCACCCGCTAGCATGTTGCCACCCCCAGCTGCTCACCTCCATGGCGATGCGGCAGCGTTCGGGCCACTGGAGCGGCGGCACGCCTCCAATGCAGAGCAGGCGGTCCTCGAGGGAGCCGTTGGCCATGAACTCGTAGACCAGCGATCGGTCCTCCCTGCAGTACCCCACCAGGCGCACCGCGTTGGGGTGGTCTATGCGCTTCTGCACCTCCATCTGTGCTCCGTGCGTTTGGGAAGTGGGGGGGAGGGAAACGGAAGGGAAGAGGGGTGGAGAAGGAGAAACGCCATGGGCTGCCTGTCTACCAACCTTAGCCCATCAGTCAGCCCCCACCAGTCAGCCCCTAAGTCACACATACCCCACCCCAACCCACATACCTCACTGGGAACCCGAAACCCTAAACCCTCCCTGTCGATCTCATCGAGAGCCGCCTTCACATCAGGATTCTTGAGCTGCTTCACAGCCATCGTCTGCCCGTCAATCATGCCCTTATACACCACGCCGTAGCTGCCACAAGCATCATTGCACCCCAGCCACAACCCACCAACCACCCCGTCAGCCACACCCCACCACCAGCTCACCTCCCTGTCGATTTCATCAAGAGCAGCCTTCACGTCGGGGTTCTTGAGCTGCTTCACAGCCACGGTCTGCCCGTCAATCATGCCCTTATACACCACGCCGTAGCTGCCCTCGCCGCACACGTGGTTGGGCCAGAAGTGCTCGATGGCGGCCTGCAGCTCCTCCAGAGTGAACTCTTTGAATGGCTGCCTCCGAGCGCCCTCTGCGGGCTCCACCACCTGCAGCGGCCTCGTGAGCGGGTTCTTGTCTGAGGGCACCTTGCGGCCAGATGAGCCCTCGCGCTCCGCCATCTTCTTCTCAAGGCGAGCCTGGTGTGAGGGAATTGGGAGAAGGGAGAGGGGAGAGGGAGCAAGAGGAAGGGAGAGGGGGCAAGGGGGAGCAAGGGCACAGGATGTGAGTGGGAGGGTTCCACCACCTGCAGCGGCCTCGTGAGCGGATTCTTGTCTGAGGGCACCTTGCGGCCCGAGGAGCCCTCGCGCTCCGCCATCTTCTTCTCATGGCGAGCCTGGTGTGAGGGAATTGGGAGAGGGGAGAGGGGAGGGGGAGCAAGAGGAAGGGAGAGGGGGCAAGAGGGAGCAAGGGCACAGGATGTGAGTGGGAGGGTTCAACCACCAACCACCTGCAGCGGCCGCATGAGCGGGTTCTTGTCTGACGGCACCTTGCGGCCTGATGGGCCCTCCCTCTCCGCCATCTTCTTTTCGAGGCGGGCCTGGTGGGAGGTGAATACACGGGAGAGAGAGGGAAGAGCGGAGAGGAGGGCAGAGGAACTAAGGGCACTGGGAGTGAGTGGGACGGCTCCAGAGGAGGGAAGAGAGAGGAAAGGAGAGGAAAGGCGAGACCGAGCACTGGGAGGGACAGGCAAAGGAAGGAATCCGATACTGCTCATCGCAATGTTTTATGCGCCTCAAAAGCCAAACACTCGGGCTGGTATTGAGGTGGCTTGGAGGGACCGGTAATGGGACGGAGTACGTACCTGGTAGCGTTTTCCAGTCTACCCTGAAACAGGAAATGCGCCCGCCAAGGGATTCTTTCTTCTTCCTTGGCCGGCCCTCAGGCGCCACGGCACTACCGCTCCTGCCTGGTGTGCCTGTGTGTGAGTGTGATTTGTTTCTCTTTCACAGTCTATCACAAGACAGGGAGGCATTACCACCCACCTTGGCACCAGCCGATGGTTTCTTCTTCCTTGGTCGGTCTTTGGGCGGGACTCCTCCTCCCGGTCCCCCTGCCGCCGCCGCCCCTCCTCCTGCTGCTCCTCCTGCTGCAGCACCCCCAGACCCTCCCCCTCCGCCGCCTGCCCCAGCAGCAGCCTTGGCCTTAGCAGCATACGCCCTTCGAGCAAGCTCCAAAGCAGACAGCCCCTCCTCGTTCTTCCCCGCACCCTCCCCTCCCCCCTCCGCCGGCCCCCCCTCCGCCTTCCCAGCCCCTTCCCCCTCCGCTCCCCCCTCTGCTGCGGCCTCCTTGCCTCCCGCTTCCCCTTCCCCTTCCCCCTCCCCGTCCGCTGCCCCGCTGCCCCCCTGTGCATCTCCGTCCTCCTGCACGCCGCTCCCCCCTTCCTGGATGTCTGGCAGCTTCTTGTTGAGCGCTGTGCCGTGGAACACGCGTGCTGGGGGAGGGACGGGCTGGGATGGGTTGGAATCGTGGGAAAAGGAGGAGAGGAGTTGGGAGAGATAGGAGAAACGGGGATGGGGGTAAAGCGTAAGGGCAGCAAAGGGGGACGGGCTGCATGGGGGAGCACGTGCGGGGCATGTGAGGAGAGAGCGGATGAATGCAGGGAAGAACTCATCTTAACGGGAAAGAGTGGGTGAATGGCGAGAAGGACCCACCTTAGCGGGCGCCTGCTCCTTGCTCTGCACGGGTTTCAGCTTCTTACCGCTCTGCACCACATAGAGTGACGCTCCGAGCGGGAGAGAGCGTATGAACGCTAAGTAGTTCTCACCTTAGCGGGCGCCTGCTCCTTGCTCTGCACGGTTTTCAGCTTCTTGCCACTCTGCACCACATAGAGCGACGCACCGGGCGGCAGCACCTCCTCCCTCGCGCACACGTTGATGGTCTTCCACCTGCCATGCCATGGAGGGTGGGTATGAGGGATGGGGGTTGAGGGGTGGGGGGGGTGGGGGTTCGGTGGTGGAGACGCAGGGTTGTTAGGATGGTGGTTCGTGGTAGTTGGAAGGTAGAGGTTCACATGGGGCGTGACGGCACTTGGCGGTTAGAGCCTCCTCCCTCGCGCACACGTTGATGGTCTTCCACCTGCCATGCCATGGGAGGTGGGGGCGGCATGGAGGTTGGGGGGGAAGGGGGAGAGGGGGAGGTGTGACGCAGGATTGTTAGTTAGGATGGTGGTGCATGGTTGGTGGTGCATGGTTGGTGGTGCATGGTTGGTGGTGCATGGTTGGTGGTGCATGGTTGGTGGTTGATAGGGTGTGTGTGGTTCGGATGGTGCCATGAGGGCATGCGGTGGAGGGGGGAGTGGAGGGGGAGGATTGGTCGACTCAAAGATCGCCTCATCAGAGTGGTACTGTTCTGGATATTTGAGGCGTTGTGGTCCACGCCATTCCGGATCCGTTCAACGGTCAACTGCGTTCACCAGCCAACTCACTCGCCGATGGGCTTGTTGGGAATGCTGGCCAGCACGATGGCCGTCACCTCCAGCTGCCTATGTTGTGTATGTTGCCTGTGCTGCCTATGTTTGAGTCGACTCAGGTTTTGAGACGTCTCAACAAAACTTGACTCAAGAATCAACTCACTCGCCAATGGGCTTGTTGGGAATGCTGGCCAGCACGACGTGCGTCGCCTCCAGCTTCTGCGCGGCTTCGAGGATGGCGCCGCCCTTGTCCTCGTTCTTGATCACGTGCACCGTCGACGGCAGCTGTGGGAACGGGAGGGTGGGGGCCACGGGGGTTGGGAAGAGTGGGGAACAGCGAAGCTTGTGAGCGAGAGCAGAGAGATTAGGGGGTCGCACGAGAATGGCGCCGCCCTTGTCCTCGTTCTTGATCACGTGCACCGTGGACGGCAGCTGGGGGGGTTGGAGGTGGGAAAGAGTAGGGATAGGCGAGGTACGGAACGGGTTGCAAGGGGATGTGACACGGAGGTAAGCAAAGGGTCGCACGAGAATGGCGCCGCCCTTGTTCTCGTTCTTGATCACGTGCACCGTGGACGGCAGCTGAGGGGGTGGATGGGGGGTGAAGGGGGGAGGGGGGGGGGGAAGGGGGAGTTGGGGAAAGAGTGGGGAGAGAGATCAGAAAGAGAGAGAAAGACAGGGGTTGCCCGAGGATGGCCCCGCCCTTGTCCTCCTTGGTCCAGGGTGGGGAAGGAAGAAAACGGGGGAAGCAAGAGCGCGGTTGGCAGGGGGGTGGGAAACGAAGATAAGAGAAGGGTGGGAGAGAATACGGGCCCCGTCTAGCACCACTTGGCATCCACCGCCACGCACGCCCACGCCTCATGTCTACTTCCACCCACCCCGCCCTCCCCCCGTCTCCAACGCCTCGTCTGAAGCCACTCGTCCCCAGGTCTCATGTCTAAGGCCTCTCGCGCTGACGTTTCATGTTGAAAGCCACTCGTCCCCTCGTCTCGCGTGCGAAGCCACCCACTCCCACGTCGCCATGCCAAAGCCATCCACTCCCACATCTCATGTCATGTCTACTACCTAAGCGACTCCTTCCCACGCCTTTATCTAAAGTTAAGCCACACCGCGCCTGAGCCCCATATCTAAAGCCACTCGCCCGCACGCCTCGACATGAAGCCACTCACCCTCACGTCTCAATTATTCAGCCAAACCTCTCCCACGCTTCATATCTAAAGCCACTCACCCCGGCGTCGTCGCTGACGTCTTGCAGACTCTCGAGGTACGGCAGCACGCGGTCGCATATGTCCACGGCCACGCTTGCAGTCTCACCGCATGCTTACAGCCTCACCACTCCCATGCCTCACAGCTCAAGCCACTCATCCGCACGTCTCATATCCAAAGCCACTCACCCCGGCGTCGTCGCTGACGTCTTGCAGGCTCTCGAGGTACGGCAGCACGCGGTCGCATATGTGCACCGCCACGCTCGGGCTATCCGCCTCGCCTAGGCGCACCAGCTTGCCCGCTGGAGAGGGAGAGAAAGGGGGGGAATCGGGGGAGGAACGGGGAAGGAAGGGGGTTAGCTGGCGGCACGTCGTCGCATTTGTGCGCCGCTGCGCTCGGCTAGCCGCCTCGCCTAGGCGCACCAGCTTGCCCGCTGGACGAGGGAGAAAAGGGGGGGAATTGGGGGAGGGACGGGGAAGGAAGGGAGTAAGCTGGCAGCACGCGGTCGCATATGTGCGCCGCCACGCGCGGGCTGTCCGCCTCGCTCAGGAGCACTAGCTTGCCCGCTGGACAGGGGAAGCAAGGGCGGAGTGGGGAAAGGAAGAACGGGGAAGGAAGGGGATTTGATGGCAGCACGCGGTCGCATGCCACGCTCCGCTTGGGGAAGGAGGAGAGTTATTTTTTCTGGTTTGGCGGAGTTACGGCGGGAGGAGGAAGGGCCAGATAAAAAATGAATAGCCAGCGAGAGAAGAGGGAGACACGGAAGTCCTGAGAGGGAGCTAAGCACGGAACGATTGGAGGTGGTGCGACAGGGTGCAAGCGTGTTGCGACCAGTTGCGAGCGTGTTGCGAGAGTGTCCGATTGTTTCATGACAGGGTGCGAATGTATTACAACAGGGTGCGACCGCGTTGCAACAGGGTGCGAGGGTGTTACGTAGGGTGCGCGCAAGGCGTAAGCGACAAAACGAGAGGGAAACATAACGAAATAAACGAGGGGTATCTGTAGGAGAGAAGTGCAAATTGCGGTGCAATCGCTCTGCGACTTGACCTTCGAGCGTACCTGACGCACCGAAGCTCTTAATTGACGTACATTGCAAACAGAGACCCTTAATAATGACTCGCTGACAATACCTCGTCCTTCATTTCGATCGCTATTAAACACCCAAATGATAACAGCTCGTTGATTATGAGGTCCTCGCTACAGCAGCGCACCTGTATTGCGAAGTTCCGTCACGATATGCGTGAGGAGAAGACACACGCTCGCATCCTTGCGCTTTCCGAACTCCTTAATCGTCCAGTCTAGGGCTTCTCGGCAGTGCTGGTCGTCCCGCATCGCTACCAGCACTTTAATATCCGCAGTGACGTCCATGGCACCTTCAGGCTAATATACCCTATATACTTAATTACTACTTCTGTATGTTAGTGAAGTAAGTGAGTTGCGTTGCTTCGATGCCTATCTAGAACCGCTACAATGTGTTCGCACGGGATGGTTACAAACTCGCCGAGAGACTTCACTTTTCTCTTATAGGACCGAGATTTAACATTTCCGCGGAAATGCCTTGACCTGCGACTTAGGCGGCTGGTCTGTCAGACGGGAAAACGGCTATGTGCCTAAGGACCCGAAGCTAGAAAATAAAGACGGAAGACAAAGCGAGCAGGAACAAAAGTCCCAGGGAAGCAACAAAGTCCAAGGGACGAAAGAAACAAGGGGGTCCCAACTTTCCAAGGGGCCCAGCTAAGTCCCAGGCGAGGCGAGGGAGAAACAACAAAGCCCGAGGAAAGCAGGCGGCCAAGGACGACCCAATCCCGAGGGAGGAAGAACCAAGTCCAAGGGCCAGGGAAGGGAACAAACTGCCTGCCACTCTGTGAGCCAAACAAAACCCAAGAGACAACCGCCGTCGCTGGCTTGCGCGTGCCGCGGCTTGAGCTGTCGTGGCGGGAAGGAGAGTGTTGATGCTGGCAGGTGCTGCTTGAAAGCGAGGGAATCTAGGTGAAGCTTCCATTCGATAGAGTCACGTGAGACTTGGAAAATTCGAAGCTGTGCCGTGCCTCGTCCATGTAACTAACCAGTTTCCCAGAACACATGTTTCTTGTGCTGAACTGGAGCTAAAAAAATGGTGCAGTTGATATGTTCATCACTCTGGTCCACAGACTCACCTCACCTGTCAATCTTTCCATTTCATTGCATTTCAGAAATTCCTAAACAATTTCCCTTGCCTTATCTAGAAAATAATATGGAATCGCAAAAAAGCACCATAAATATCAGTCTCCAAAAATCCACTCATCTTCTACTGCCTGTGCTTGTCCTCTTCATCTTCTCGCCGCCCGGCTCTTGCTCCACCAGGGCCTGTGGTTGCGGCTGTGGCTGGCCCCCTGCTAGCTTCTTCATGATTCTCTCCCTCTGCTCTGCCTGCTGCTGTGGCGTCGGCGGCTGCCTCTTCTCTGCTCGAGAACCCTGCTGCTGCTGCTGATCCTTGCCTGGCTTACGCGCAGAGCCACTGCTACTCCCACCCGCCCCACCACCCCCAACAGCGCTGCTGGCATTGCTCATGGTCGAACCAGAATACCTATGCCCCTGCCTATCCCCGCCTCCCCCACCCCCACTCACACCCCCACCCCTCGCTCCCCCTCCCTCTCCCAAACTCTGCCTCCGCATCCTCTCACTCAACCGACTCTCATCAGGTGACGGCGCCCGCACCTCTCTCCCCCCGTCATACTCCCCTCCGCCACCCGGCCTCCTGCCTCCCAGCCCAGCTCTCTGCCTCATTTCAGGCACATCATCTGAGAGCAACCGCATGCCTCTATGCGACCGTGCTCCTGGCCCTAGAAGCATCTTACTTGATGGGGTCGGCGGGCCGTTAACACCGCCCGTGCTCATGCTGCTGCCCCACATTGGCGGCTGCCCGGGAGGAAAATTTCCGGGCAGATTAGGGTTTGAGGCGGGGGGCGGCGGCATGGAGTGGGGAGGAGCGGGGCCAGAGGGGGGCCCTTTGCGCTGCACCTGCAAGCCAAGGTCTTCAAAGACAAAGGCTGCGCTCCGGGTGACTGCTGGCTTGCCGGGGGGGAGAGGGCGGACCTGCAGTGGAGGGAGAAGAGGGGAAAAAAAACAGGGTGGTACAGAAGTGCAGGACAGAGGGGAGAGGCGGTGAAATTGGGGCCGGACAGGGGGGCTTCGCGCTTCACCTGCAGGCCAAGGTCTTCAAAGACACAGGCTGCGCTCCGGGTGACTGCTGGCTTGCCAGGAGGGAGAGGGCGGACCTGTGGTAAATAGGGAAGGGGAGAAAACAGAGGAAAGAGTTTAGGATGTTATCGAATTGCAAAACCGAGACGAAGAGGCGAAGAGAGGGGAAAGGGGCATGGGTTGAGCGACAGGGGGGTTGGATGGGCAGGGGGGGGGGTGGCGGCAATACCCCCACATGCTCCTGCTCCTGCTCGTGAGGTGTTTTGAGGAGCCTCAAAAACGAGTATGCACCCGCCTATGACTATTCCTACTCATGAGGCGTTTGAGGCGCCCCTTGACTGAATATGCACCCACCTGATCCAGCTCTTGCTCGTGGGCGTCATCAGCCACCAGAGACCGCTCCAGCTTCACTCCTCCCGGTCCCTGCTCTCCGCCCCCCATCTCTCCCCCGCCTCCCCAACCCGGCCTCCCCCAATTCCCTCCCCCTACCCCTTGCTGCCCCTGCCACCCGCCCTGCATCCCCCCCTGCATGTTCCCCTGCATTCCGCCCTGCATCCCCGCTTGCATTCCGCCCATGTCCTGCTGCCCGCCCCAGCTCCCCCTGCCCCCGTACAAATCGTCGTCAACCGCCCCCACCGCGCCCCCAGGCCCCATCCCCCCGCCCTGGGGCGCCATTCCCCCCATCTGCGCGCCCCACATCCCTCCGCCGCCCCCATTCCCTCCGCCATAAAGATCATCCGCCATGCCCCCCATCTGCGCCTGCTGGGGGTAACCGCGCGCGGGTTGAGAGCCAGGGTAATTAGGCCCAGAACCTGGGGGCATTGCGTTCGCATACCCCTGAGGGGGGGGCATCATGCCAGGAGGACCCCCAAAGCCGACAGGCATAGATGGCCCCTGGTTGAGGTTGTTAACATGCATCGGCATGCCCTGCTGCTGCATCCCTATCCCCCCGCCCATCGCCCCCCCAGGCATCCCCATTTGTCCCTGCTGATACCCACCCCCTGCGTGCGACCAATTTGCACTGCTCTCCTCTTCCTCCTCCTCACCCTCCTCATCCTCCCCCTCCTCTTCCTCCTCCTCACCCTCTTCCTCCTCATCTTCTTCCTCCTCTTCTTCCTCATCCTCTTCCTCCTCCTCCTCTTCTTCCTCATCTTCCTCCTCTTCCTCCTCCTCCTCCTCCTCCTCCTCATAATCCTCCCCATCCTCAAGCTCCTCCTCTTCATCCTCGTATTCCTCCCCTTCCACCTCCCCCCACTCCCCCTCCTGCTCATAATCCCACTCGCCGCCGCCCCCCGCGTTCCCCGCACCCCCCGCCCATTGCTGACCATACCCTCCGCCGCCTGCCATATCCATGCCCATCGCATTCTGATTCGCATCATATCCGTACTGCGCGCCGATTGGTTGCCCGGCCATGCCCATACCTGGGCCGCCCATGCCCATGCCTTGGTTCCCCGCCCCCATACCTCCTTGCATCTGCATCCCCATTGGCGGTCCTCCGACAGCCATTCCTCCTCCTCCCATCATCCCCTGCCCCATCATCCCCATCCCCTGTCCGCCCATGCCCCCCTGCCCGCTCATACTCGCTCCTTGCGCGCCCATACCTCCGCCACTCCCGCCCCACTGCTGCTGACCCCCTTGCTGCGCCATGTCCCGCGGACCCCCCGCCGGTTGCCCCGGCCCGGCCATGTTTCCCCGCATCTCCCCCCGATCCCTTTGCCGTCCTTCCGCCGGCCTCTCCGCTCCCGCCTGCCCGCGTCCAGCGCCAGCGCGAGGGGGGCCCCGGGGCCCGCCGTCGCCGGCACCGCTGCCGGCAGGCGGAGGCGGGCGCATCCGCCTCTCCCCCATCCCTGGCGCATCCGCGCCCGCCGGCCGCGGTCTCTGCGCAGGAGGGCCAGGTCTTACGCCTGCAGCTTTGGGTTTGGCACCCGCGACGGGTGGAGTAGCGCGCTTCGCACCAGGGGCTGGGCGCGCTTTCGCCGACTTCACCTCACCCGACGCCGCTTGATCCTTCCCCGCCTTCCCAGCCTTCCCCGCTTCGCCCTTTTTCTTCTTAGGTGCAATCTGAAGCGGCAGATCCTTGGGAAGCGGTTTCTTCGACCCCTGCGAAAGCAGACTGCTAGCTGCGCCAGTCAGCACCTTGGATAAGAAAAATCCACGTCCTTTATTCGCCGATTTGGATTCTGTGACATTTTCCTCCTCCTCCACCTCCCACACCGCGACCTCAATTTTTTCGTTAAACGTAACCTTTCTTCTGGGCTCCGATGAATCTCGTTGCCGGCGCCGCGGTTTGTTACCTTTCACAATGCACGGTTTCAAGTCGGGATACGTCCTTAAAGTGTTCGCCAAGGCCTTATCCGCGGATGCAGAGGTTTTAAAGCTTAGACCGCCAAGGAACGAAAGCCCTTTCTTTTTCTCTTGACTTCCCGTAGGGGTTGTTGCGGTTTCAGCCACACTTGGATCGTTGACTGGGTTGACTTTCAGCTGCCGCGATCCGGTCGACGCGCGCTGAACCATCGGCGGGGGCTCGCTGACCTCTTCGGTTGGCACGATGGGGCTTCCCACGCTGCTGGATCGAGGGAACGCGCCTCGGACGCTGGCTCGCGGCGGGCCATCCGCCTTTTGCGGCGCCAAAGGCGTTTGTTTATTCGGGCCGGTGTCGGACTTTTTACGGGGAGCGAGGGGCCCGGAATGCGTTTGCGGGGGTCGGTTAGGTCTAGGAGACGGTTCCGGAGGTGCGCTGCCAACAGGACCGCGCTCTTGCCGCTTTCGCTCCGCCATTTCAGGAAACCTAAGCGGAATAAATAAGCATTTGTTGTTAGGACCACAACGTTGCTGAGGCAACGATGTTGGTGACAACTCACTAACAGACTAACAATGGGAGAGCTACAAATGCAGACAAGCAATGGTACAGTGCGAAGGACCGAGTGAGAGGAGTGAAACAGGATGATGAGGAGGATGGATAGGATAGACTGGGTGAGAAATCAGTGAGCAAGCAAGGTGATGGAGTTCTCTGGTTGCTGAGGTTCGGCTGAGGTTCGGTTGATGCTGGTTGTTTGTGATGGCTTGTCCGGGGTACGGATGACGTGTTTCCAACGCACCTTGGGGGTTCTGGAGGTGAGCAGAGCTGAAAATATTGAGGTTTGGTGGCACCCGAGCCAACGACGTCGGGGTTCGCGGGTGAAACTGGTGGAATATCGGTCAACATATGGTTGTGAAATAATGCAACGCTAAAGAGAACGATGATATAGGATAAAGTGAAACCAAAGTTCACAGCAGCTATAGACGACAGTACACCAATAAGCTCCTGACATGGAGGTTCACAAAAGGTGATACTTTATGGCTGCGGATAGGTCATCCAGGCCATTGGCTGGTGTGGCCTTGATCTTGCCGCGTGGCTTCTGCCTTGTCAAAAGCAGGCTAACGACTGCACCTTACCCGTGTTACCGTCATCGTGCATTCAACAAACCACTCCTGCGTGTGATGGGAGGAAAGCCATGTCAATGTTTAGACAGGTGAGTCACGGTTCAAAGCGGTTTATAGATAAAACCGCTCTAAATTGCAAGGCATCGTATTGAACCGTTTTGTAAAAGAAAGGTAAGAGCTGAAGCAGATTACGGAGTCAGCTCAAGCCCTAAAAAAAAGTGCAGCCGACTCTGATTGTGATAAATTTGCTGCTTTAGGTTGCTACTGTTCTCCTCGTCAGCAGTCAAAGCTGACGTTTTAGTGTCGAAGCAATGGCTGCCGTCACAATGCAGGCGTCGGTCGCGAGCCGCACACCGTACCTCTCCTTGCCGTCGCGGCCCAGATTCGCAGCTGGAGCTCGCCTCGCACGACCGTTGGCAGTCAACGCTAGAATCGTCGTCAATGCTCGTGCGAGTTGCGACCAGCCTGAGGTGCGACCTTTTCTCAGCTCCCCTAGAATGTGCATAAGCCTACTGAAGCACACTAAGAGTTACTCGCGTCTCGACTATATACATATAGTCACGATGTACTGACTTGAGCTGGCGTGTTCAGGCAAGCAGATGGAAGCAATCCAAACCTTGCTTCGGTATGCTCCTTCAGGACTGACTTGAGGTCAAGTCTGCTTTAACAGATGTTCTTAACCCTAAATTCACAGGCTTTCACTCTTTGATGCAAATCTGCTCGCTCGTGATCTCTCTCGACCTCTTTCTTCGCATCACGCGATAACAGGCTGCTTCGCCTTTGAGAAGCTCGATGGTCAGCCAATCTTCGACCCAAGCGAGCATCGATCAAGTACAGCCTCGTCCCATGCCCTCGGTTTTTCGTATTTTGTTTTCTTTTTCTTTTCTGGGACTTGCTACGCTTACTTGGTCCTGATTTTGACAACCTTCAGCTCTCCGTTGCACGCTCTCCCGGCAGTTCATTCCGCACCTTTCTCATCGCGCTTACCTCGTCATGACATTCTGTTCCCATTGCTGTTCCCTCCCGTCGCCCTGCTACTCTGATCGCAGTTTTCCCCGCAGCAGCTCGCCATCAACGCGTCGACGATCTCCTCCACAGCCGCTGCCTTCCTCGCACCCGTACGTTCACGCATCATCTATAGCGGGTACAATCTCGCCGTCGTAAAATCACGGCTACATTCAGGGACTCGGCTAGTGACCAGGCTATCGGAGCTGTTAGAAAATATCACGGAGAAGAGACTAAGAGAATCAAGCTTACGTTTCAGTCGAAGCGTTTAACTTCTGCAAGGGAAAGAACTCGAGAGAATCAAGCTCACTTACCATCCAGAGCCGTTCGGTCGTTGTCGCCAGCATCCCCAAGTTTCCGTTCTTTCGCTTCGTCTCGTCGTCTCCACCCGCCTGGTTTTCCCACTTCCCAGTCTGGTGGAAATCTAGATGCTTAAATGGAACGAATAGGCAGGGGCCAAGTGAATCTGTTCAGTCTGTTTTCGACATGATTAGTCTCCTGCATGAGTTGCGTCGTCAGAAGTTGGTCTCTGCCCTTCAAACATGAGTTTCGACTCGACTAGCCTGTCGCTCGCGTCTGAGTGCGCTTTTGTAAGCCCGGATGCGTGGCCAATCCTGCACCGCGCTGAACCGCACACTCGTCGCATTGCCTTCTCCCCCGGCGCCCCTCACCCTCCCCGCGCAGCTCGCGCTCCTGGCGGCGCCAGCGGTGGCGGCGGAGGCGGTGGGGCAGACGGACGAGGAGTTCGTGGAGTCCCTGATCTACTGGGGCATCACCGCCGTCATCTACCTCTTCGTTGCACCCGTGAGTACTATAGCCTGTAACGCGTCAACGCTTCTGGTGAGTGCTGCTGCGCTGGGAAGTGCTGCTGCATCGTACGAGCAGTTCGTGGAGTCCCTGAACTACTGGGGCATCACCGCCGTCATCTACCTCTTCGTTGCACCCGTGAGTGCTGCAGCGCTGGTAGGAGTTCCTGCATTGGTTAGTGCTGCTGCCCCGCTCCTGCCTGGTAGGTAGGTGCTGCTGCATTGGTGGTGCTGCTGTATCGGACGAGGAGTTCGTGGAGTCCCTGATCTACTGGGGCATCACCGCCGCCATCTACCTCTTTGTTGCACCTGTGAGTGCTGCTGCGTGCTGCTGCGGCGCTGGCTGGTATGTGCTGCTGCGCTGGTATGTAGTGCTGCATTGGTGGTGGTGCTGCATCGGACGAGCGGTTTAGGGTGAAGCTTTTTCGTTGGGACTTCCCCACCCTCCGTCTCCCCACCCTCCCACCGTCTCCCACCTCCCCACCCGTCCTCTCTGACCGCCCATGTGCAGCCACTGGTGTACGGCTACCTGCGCCTGCGGTGGTTTAACCGCTCCACCATTGAGACGTTCTTCCAGTACTACCTCATGTTCGCCTTCTTCCCCGCGTGAGTCCCCTGCTCGCCGTTTGAGCCGCCTCAAAAGTCGCCTCTAAATGGTTTAGGCACGTATTAAATCCTTCCAGTATTACCTCGTGTTTTTCTTCTTCCCCACGTGGGACCCATTCACGCCTTGTTCTGGTAGTTAAGTATGGCTTGCCGTGGCCATGCTATTTCAGTCCAACAATAGCATACTCACTCCCACTGCATGCATACCCATTCTCACTAACATTGCCAATGCACCAGCACAAACCACCCCCCTCCTCTTCCTCCCCCTCCTGGAGCGCTATCCTTGTTCTTCATAAACTTCAGGCGCCTTCCCCGTTACCCTCTGCCAATGTCCCCCTTCCCCACCCTGCGCTGGCAGCATGCTGCTGTGGTCGCCATTCATTAACTTCAGGCGTCTCCCCCGCAAGGAGCTCTGAGCATCCGCTGCCACCCGCTCCCATGCCTTGTTGCTTCAAATGCTCATCTAAAACGGTTTCGCAACTCATTCAGCAGGCCAGCAAGTCATGCAACGAGGCAGACAGGCAGACAAGCAGATTTTCTTTTGTCAGCATGCCACAGTGGTTTGTCTCCGTCAGTTTTATAGCAATATATGGCCAGACTGCTGACTTGTGTGCTGTTACACAGGGTGCTATATGGAGTATGGGCCAAGCACATTGCGATGAACCTGGGCACACATTACTCTAGCTCAGAAAGTGAAATGGCTGGATATTACCATTGCTCGGTCATTTCTGTCATATATACCGGTAGGTAACTCTTATGGTGCATTGTTACGGTACTGTTGCACTTAATTCATGTCACTGTTGACAACTACTTACAGGAGGATAAAATATCAGCACAATGGGCTAGGCCCAATGACGAGGCTAAAGCAGCTACCTTTTCTGACTTGCTGCTCCACACTGCCCTGTTGACTCTCTAGCCTACAGAGTGGCAAATCAAGTTGGCAAAACCTACAGATTCTAACATGGAGTGCACTGCACGAAGCTACGGTACTGTTACGCTCCATGAAGAGCCTTGCACTGCTGCTACAGTTCTCTCTAATTTGGAAGCTGGTACCCTAGGAGCTGCTGCCTGCTACACTATTACTCTGCCTGGGAGCTGCTGCCCCCCAATGCGCCCACTTTGGCCTTGAGCTCCTGTGTACAACACACGACAGGGGATTGAACCAGGCCATGCAGGTCGGGAGAGAGTCAGGATGCAGGGATTGAGTCAGCAGGAAACGAGAGAGTTTGTGGGTTTGTAGAGAGGTCTGCGAAGGTGGGGTAAAAGAAGAGGCACCTGGCGATAGTTGCGGCCGATGGACGGAATAGGAGAGGGTGTGCAGCAAAGGAAAGCAGGGGGATGGGTGGCTAAGCACCAATGGTTTGACCCTCGCTCCACTCACCGATACTTGGCTCTCGAGGCCGCGCAGGTAGCGGATGGTCTGAGCCAGCACCGTGGCGGCATCTGTCTTGGTGGACGAGGGCACCAGCCCCTGTAAAGTGCGGATGTGCCTCGATATGCGGTCCCTCCGCTTCTGCAGGGTTCAGCACAGAGTAGAGAAGGATTGGGGACAAACGATGCAGTGAGGAGAAGGGTGGGGGGCAGAGAGGAGTGAGCAGAAGGGGGGTAGAGAGGAGTGAGGAGAGGCAGAGAGGTGAGTGAGGAGAAGGGGGGAACCAGACTCCAGAGCGTGGGGACACGAAGAGTAGGGAAAAGGGAGCACTGATGAGAAGGGAGCGAGGAACACACCACAACATCCCTTTTCCCCCTTTCCTCCCACGCTCCCCCCTTCCCCACACATCCTTCTTCCCCCAGCCCCAGTCACCCGGGCGGCCACACATGGCTTGGTGACCGCATCAGTCTTCCTCCTCTGTTCCACCCCCCTTCCTCCCACACTCTTCCCTCCCCCCACAGTTCCCCCTTTCCATCCCCTCCCCTCCCCCCACCCCCTTCCCCCCCCCCTGCACTTACCCGCGCAGCAGCACACGGCTTGGTGACCGCACCACTCTTCATCCTCGGTCGCACACACCCTCCTCCCTTTCCCCTACACTTCCCCTCACCCGCGCCCCACAGGCCCCCCCTGCACTTACCCGCGCAGCAGCACACGGCTTGGTGACTGCACCACTCTTCCTCCTGGGACCCGGCCGTCCCACCCCTCTCAGCCCCAGGTCTTCCCCACCCTCCTCCTCCTCCCCTTCCCCTCGCTCTGAATCGCCGGTGCTGTCCTCCCCATCCTCCTCCAAACCCGACCCCGACCAGCCCCCCCCTCCTCTCCCTGCGCCAGCCCTCCCTTTTACCACATTACGACTACTGCCACCACTACCACCACCACCACCACCTGCAGCTGCTCCTGGTGCTACTGCTGCGGCTGCTGCTGCTGCTTCTCCAACAGCTGCTGTTGCTGGTGGAGCAACAACACTTGCCAGACCTGCTACTCCTGCCACTGCAGACCCACCTGCCGCTGCTCCAGAAGCAGCAGCAACAGCAGTAACACCAGCAGAAGCAGCAGCAGCACTGGCTCCACCTGGAGCAGCAGCAGCAGCAGTGGCAGCAGGAGCAGCAGACACAGGAGACGTGCCCCATGCACTGCCTCTCCCAAACGGCACACCCACATGGGCAGCAGCGGTTGTGATGCCATTGGGGGTGGCAGTGGTGGTGGTCAGCGAGTTGCTACTCAGGGACTGTCTCACAGCGCTTCCTGCCTGCTGCTGCTGCAGCTGCTGCTGCTGCTGGTTGGGCTGGAGTTGTTGCTGAGAGCTGGTGGACTGAGACGGGCCCCGAATAACCTGCTGCTGCTGCGGCTGCTGTTGCTGCTGCTGCTGCCGCAACTCAAGCAGCAGTTGCTGCTGTTGCAGAAGGTCCAATGGTCGCTGCGATTGATGTTGCTCCTGCTGTCGCTGCTGCATCTGCTGCGGCTGTTGCTGCTGCTGCTGTTGCCCCTGCTGTTGCTGCAACTGTTGCACCTGCTGTTGCTGCAACTGTTGCAGCAGCTGGTGCTGCTGCTGTTGACCCTGCTGCTGCTCCTGATGCTGTTGCTGCTGTTGTTGCCCCTGCTGTTGCTGCAACTGTTGCAGCAGCTGCTGCTGTTGCTGCTGTTGCTGTTGCTGCTGCTGCTGTTGTTGTTGCTGCTGCTGCTGTTGCTGTTGCTGCTGCTGCTGCTGCTGCAACTGTTGCAGCAGCTGCTGGTGCTGTTGCTGCTGCTGTTGCTGCTGCTGCTGCTGTTGCTGCTGCTGTTGCAGCTGCTGCTGCTCCAACTGATGCAACTGTTGCTTAAGAAACTGCTTCTGCAGCATCAGCAACGCATGCATGGAGCTACCCTGGCTCAACTCGCTCAAACCAGCTGCACTGATCAAACCACCAGCACCCGCACCAGAAACAGCACCACCACCAGCAGCAGCACCAGCACCACCAAAGCTATTAGTGGCAGCAGCAGAAGTAGCATAAGTAGAAGCATCAAGCCCAGGTCGAGGAGAGAGCTCTGCTTGAGAGACTGAGGCAGGGAAAGCAGCAGCCGGAGAAGTAACAGCAGCAGCAGCAGTAGCAGCAGCAGTAGCACCGGTGACAGCGGCAGTATTCCCAAGGAGAATACTTGCAACCCCTGTCCGATAGTCCATGACAGGCATCACAGCACCAGGGGCAGCGGCAGCAGCCGCAGCAGCAGCAGCAGTAGGAGCAGAAGGAGCAGGAGCAGGAGCAGGGGCAGCGGGAGTACCACCAGGAGCAGATGAAGTGTGTGGGAGGAGAGGGAGGGTGTGGTGGAGAGGGAGAGGGGAGGGGGAGCGCGAGGTGGGAGTGGGGCCTCTAGCCCCTCTTTGCACTGCAGTGCCTGCAGCAGTAGGTGGGGCAACGGCTGGATTAAGCCCAGTGGAACTCAATCCAACGGCTGGATTGAGCCCAGCAGAGCATGTGGCAGCACTGCTGGCAGCAGCAGCAACAGCACTCCCAGTGAGGCCCAAAGCAGCAGCACTATCAGTGAGGCCCAATGGAAGCTTCCCCCCACTGCCCCCTCCCAACACACTCGCCAGCAGTGCTGCCAACGCCCCTCCTTCCACTGTACCCGCTCCCCCCAGACTCCCCCCCACAAGCCGCAGAAATCCTGCACCCATATCTCCATCCCCCATCCCCATTGCTCCCCCAATCCCTTCCCCCATCCCCATTGCGCCCCCTACCCTTTCCCCCATCCCCTGTGCGCCCTGTACCCCTTCCCCCACGCCCACTGGCCCTCCTCCCCCTCCCCCACCCGCTGCATTGTCCCCCACACTCATGCCCAGCGTTCCTATCTGTGGTCCAGGGCTCAGCCGCACTTGGTTCAGATCAATTCCCCCTTGTACCCCTCCGTGCACTCCCTTACCCACTTGCACCCCTCCCCACACCTCGTTACCCAACCCTACCACGGCCCCAGTCAACCCCAGCCTCCTGCTTTCTCCATCTGTCAACCCGCCTTCTGAACCTATGGATCGAGACTGAGGGAAACGCATGGTCGTACCACCGGCACCAGCAGCACCAGCGGCACCAGCAGCACCAGCAGCACCAGCGGCAACAGGGGAAACATTCGTACCAGCGGGAGCAGCAGGCAGGCCGTTTCCCACCTCCATCCCTCCCCATAGGTCCTTACCAGCTCCTCCCGGCCTCCCACTTACTCCCCCTGCTGAACCGCCCTCTGAGCCAGTGGATCGGGAGAGAGGGAAACGCATGGTGGCAGCAGCACCCCCACCAGCAGCACCAGCAGGACCAGTTGATCGAGACTGAGGGAAACGCATGGCTGTAGCATCAGCACCACCATCAGCACCAGCAGCACCAGTTGATCGAGACTGAGGGAAACGAACGGCTGTAGCATCAGCACCACCATCAGCACCAGTTGATCGAGACTGAGGGAAATGCATGGCTGCAGCATCAGCACCACCATCAGCACCAGCATCAGCACCAGCAGCACCAGTTGATCGAGACAGAGGGAAATGCATAGTCACAGCACCACCGGCAGCAGCAGCATCAGCGGCTGCGGCGGCTGCAGCAGTATCGGCAGCCGCTGCAGCAGCAGCAGCAGAAGCAGAAGCAGAAGCCCTAGGGCTAGGGAGTGGGCTAGGGGACGGGCTGGGAAACAGCTTGAGACGTTTGGACGGGTGTAAATGGGGGGCATGGGCGTGGGAGGTATGAGTGTGGGATGGATGGGCGTGAGAGGCTTGAGCGTCTTGTAGGGGAAGGGCGGCGGAAGGGAGATGCCTGGTAACAGAGGTGAGAGGGAGTGTGTTACATGGGGTGGAGGACGTGGGGGAGAGAGACGCGGAGACAGACGGGGAGGGGTGGCGAGGGGCGGGGGAGAGGGAGGGGCGGGGGGGAGCTGGAGAGAGGGAGTGGCGGAGAGGCACTGGGGAGAGGGGGGGGCTGGGGTGCAAGGGGGAGTGCATGGGGGAGTGGTCGGGGGGGAGGATGAGCCTGAGGGGGCGCATGCGGAGGGAGAGGGGGAGGGAGGGCAGGAGGGAGGAGGGAGGGGGAGTGGGGCTGCGGTTTTGCTTAGTGGTGAAGGTGAATGGGGGATCAGGTGTCCTGCTGGTGGCAGCAGCTGTGTTGGTGTCAACAGCAGCAGGAGGAGGAGGAGGAGGAAGAGAGGCGTTGACTGCTGATACTGCTGCTGTGGCCATGCTGGTGTCTGGATCAGACCCAGCAGCTGTAGCAGGAGAAGCTGCAGCAGGGGCAAATGCAGGAGCGGTGGCAGCAACAGCTGTAGCAGCAGTGCCGGCAGCAGCAGCAGCAGCAGCAGCAGCGGAAACAGCAGGAGCAGCAGCAGGGGGTTCGAACGCAACACGCCTGAGGGGGTTCACAACGGCGTCAAGGCATGAGCTGTCAGTACGAACTATCCCCTCCCCCATATCCCCATGCATGCCCATGCCTATACCCATGCCCATGCTCATGCCCATGCCCATGCCCATACCCATGCCTGTGCCTGTGCTCACACCCACACCACCAGCCTTGCCACCATCGTACAGCCCCCCTTCCTTGCTCGTATTCCCCATGATTCGCCGCCACGCCGCGCCTATGCTCCCACTGCCGCCCACGCCAACACCAGTGCGGGCCAAGGCAGCACCACTGCCGCCCATCCCCATGCCACTGCCGCCCATTTCACTCCCACTATGCTCAGCAGCCCCCCCCCCCCACCACCAAGCTCTCCCTTTTCCGCCCCACTCCCGCCCTTCCCCCTTCCCCATCCGCCTTCTTCCCCACACTCTCGCTCTCCCTTCCCCTGCCCCTCCCCATGCTCCCCCAATCTCTTTCCCCCTGCAATAGCGCCTTCCCCTGCCTCCCCTTCTTCCCCCCACTCCGCCCCTCCCCCCAGTGCGCCCCTTCCCCCCACCTTTTCCGGCAACCGCTCCGCACAGCTGATAGACATCTGCCGTCCCAAACCACTGGGCCCCTGAACCAGACCGCCAGGTCCGGCAACAGTGGCCCCCGAGCCTGCCGAATCAGTAGGCCCGAAAAAACTGAATTCGTACGAGTCAAAACGGAAGATAGAGCGGGGAGCAGAGGGCACAAAATGCAGGTCTAGAGACCTCAAATCCCCCTCCCCCTCCCCTTCTCCTCCCCCTCTCTCTCCGCCCTCTCCCGTTTCTCTGCCCTCCTCCCCGTTGCTCCCTCCCTTTTCCCCTTCCCCGCGCACCACACCCCCTTGCACCTGCGTCCCTGCCATGCTCGCACGTCCGCCTTCCCCCTCCCCCACAGCAGAAGCCTCCCCTTTTGTCACGAGCGGTTCGGCAAAAGCTTGCTGCCCCACCTGCCCCTTCTGCTCCGCTTCTCCTGCATCAGCAGCACCAGCAGCAGCGGTGGCAGCTGGGCCAGCGGCAAGAGCAGCAGCAGAATCAGCAGCAGTGTCAGCAACAGCAGCAGAAGGAGAATCGCCGTCTTGCTGCTGCAGCAGCGCTGTCACTGGCTGGTGGCGCTGCAGGGAGGGTTTGCGATGCAGAAGTGAGAGCTCGTGATGCAAGGAGGAATCCCGGTGCAGGGATAACTCACGTAGGAGGGGAGAACCGCGCTGGAGAGACAATTCACGGTGAAGTGGTGAAGAGCGGTGAAGGGATAGCTCCCTGTGCAGGGGCGAATTGCGGTGGAGGGATAATTCCCGGTGAAGGGGAGAACTGCGGTGGAGAGAGGGGGTGCGGTGGAGGGAGGGGGTGCGATGGAGAAGTGGATTGGGCGGTGGGGGAGGCGAAGACCAGGTAGTGAGAAGCTGAAGTGACTTTATGCTGCTGGTACACCTCTCACTCTTCCCATCTCCTCCCTCCTCTCCTCCTCTTCCCTCCTCCCCTCCTCCTCCTCCTCCTCCTCCTCCTCCTCCTCCTCCTCCTCCTCCTCCTCCTCCTCCTCCTCCTCCTCCTACCCCTTCTCCCTCTGCTGCCTTTACTTTATCCCCCGTTTCCCCTTCCCCTACCATTGCTCCTTCCGCCCTCCCCGCGGCCCGCTCTTCAGCTCCCCCTTCCACCCCTTCCCTCCCCACATGCCCGTCGATTCCCCCCATCGCTTCCCCCGCCAACCCGCCCCGCGCCTGCGCGGAAATCCGTTCCGCGAATAGCAGAGGTTCTTCCGCCTCCGCCTGGCGCGCCAGTTGCGCCGCCGCGGATGAGCTAGTGGGTGCGGAGGGCCCTCCGGCGGAACCTGGGGAACGGGCGGGAGGGGAGGGGAGGGGAGGGCGTGGGGGAAGAGCGGGAGCGTGCGGAGGGCGACGGGAAAGAGGGGTGAGGGAAACATTGGCGCAAGGGAAGCTGCGGAGGAAGGACGGGCGGGAAGCGCGGGGGCGAGAGGAGGGAAGGCAAACGCAGAAGGATGATAGCGGGGGGGAACAGGGGGCGGGGCACGGGACGGGGGCGGGGATAGGGGCGGGGACAGGGGCGGGGATAGGGGCGAGGACAGGGGCGGGGACGAGGGAGGAGTTAGTACGAACGGGCGGGATCGGAGGAGAGAAAAGCCTACCGTTGAGTGACCGAAGGGAAGGCGAGCCGTGGCTGGGCGGCGGAGGGAAGAGGATATACGACGCGAGCTCGACGGCGTGCGCGTCCATCGATATTGACGGGTACAGCGGCGCGAGCATCGGCGCGCTCGCCGCCATGCCGCCGCCCGTCGTCCCCGCCGCCGCCGCGTCCCGCGCGCCCGATTCCTCCGCCTCCCAGTGAGGCACCCCTGACGACTGCGACAGCATTTCTACCGCGCGACCGTTCCGCTTACTAGCTTCCTTATTCCTACTCCGCCTCCTTTTCCGCCTTCTCTTCCGCCTTCTCTTCCGCCTCCTCTTCCGCTTCCTCTTCCGCCTCCCCTTCCGCGTGCTCTTCCGCCTCGGCTTGCAAACCCGTTCTCCTGCTCCGCGCCACCGAGGCCCACCTGCGCTCCTTCTCGTTCACGGCTCCGATGACTGAAATCAACCTAACGAGTCAATTCTGAGGCACCACAGAAGCAGATCCGCCTCGCGTTGACAACAGTCAACCTACAGAAGTTCGCCCTTCAATGCGCATAACTTTCGAGCGGAAACCAGCGCGAATTGCATACCACGTAGCGTGTCCCGGATCACTGTAGACATACGCGATGCAAGATGCCTCCTTGCGAGAGACAAGCCGTCGGGGAATGCATTCCACGATGGTGGAGGACAGCTTCTGCCACGCCTCAAAAGACGGATAAAAACGCCAACTTTAGCAATGCACGTGACGTAAGCACGTCTCAGCTCCTAACATTGCGGAGCGGGGCGGGACGCGACGCACATAGCGGACGAAACGCTATAAATTTAGAGGCAAGGCGAGTGGGATAACCCACGTGTGCGCATAGGCTGCCCAGTCGAGTGAGTATAGCGAGCGGCATGATGCGGAACAGCTGGTAGAGCTGCATGCGCCTTGGGGGGAAGAGAGGGAGGCGGCGCTGCTGTTTTTTTAGCGAGAAGCGGAACGAGGGAGACGGTCTCGTGCGCGCCGGGCAGCTGCGAAGCAGAATTGCGGCTTTTTTCGCGAATACAGAACTGTACATGTGAGGTTGTCGTTTCCGCGTGGACAACCATCTTCACGCGGAAACTGGGCATGCACAGTGCAGATGGAAAGAAGAGCGAATACACCCAGCTGCAAGGAAAATTCCTTTTCCTTACTTCGCGTCCCTGCTCAGTGCGTACAACACTAACAGCACCCCACAATATCCCGTTACCACCCGCGACATTCGCCCCGACACCATTCCCGCCACTGTTCACGATGCGACCCAACCACACGGTTCGGTTGGTAACCCGCGCTCCGGACTTCCGCCTCGACAGTTCCCCAAACCTCGGCATCAGGCCCGTCGCGCACCCCGTTTTTCCCACGTTACCGTTACCACCATAGTTTCGCTATATATTCTTCGCTCATTCCTTCGCTCATTGTATCTTGTCTCGATAGTGCAATCCTCTCTCGCTCACTCCATTGCACTCGTAACACTTGGTTATCAGAGCCTACGATCTTCTCTCGGACCGCACCCACACCTTCGCTTCCCCACTATCAATTTTTTTTTGGGGGGGTATACGTCTCTCAGAGATCAAGCACCGCCGCTCGTAGTGATCTCTCGTAAGCACGCACGGCCACGACAGAGGCTCTCGCTGAGCTTGCCCGACACCCCCGCCATGGCAGAACTCAACGTCGCGACACTGACGCAGGAGCAACTAGATCGACTCATGCGCCAACTCGAAGAATCGGCACTTGTAATCGCCACACTCACAGCGGAACGCGACTCCGCCCGCCAACAATCAACGGTGAACGCACCAGCACCAACACATGCATAGTCGGAAGAGCCGATTATCATCTCCTCAGGCACACCGACACAGAATGACAGCGTGGGACAGCGCTCAGGCGCAGCCAGTGAAGGCGCCGCTCACTCGATGCCTGGCTTGGAGAGGAACAGGACCACACCAAGCCCACGGGAGCCCCGCGAGTCCCGTCGGCACGTGGAATTTGCGGCAACAAGTGGCGAATATGCCGTCACGGCACCAATGCCACTCAAGCCACAGCGTCCGCCCTGTTTCGACCCGAGCCAACGTGGGGGTCCGACGGTTCAGTCGTGGGTCTTCACGATGAACGTGTTTTTCGACGCCAATTACGTCGAGTCGGACGCAGCGAAGATTCGCTACGCTGTTTCGCTGCTGAGGGGCCCTGCCATGGACTGGTGGCGAGTCATCGTGACATCGCCACGCGCCTACGAGCCACCGTCGCAAGAAGACGGGCCCACGGGCCCAGCCGTCACCTGGAGCTCATTCTGCGAGACAGCCCAGTACAGCACGTGGGATGCGTGGTGCGCAGGGCTTCGAGCGCGTTTCGAGCCGATTGCGGCTTCGATTTCGGCGCGTCAGAAGCTGCGCACTTGACGGCAGCTCGGATCGGTTCAAGATTACACTAGCGGTTTTCTTGCACTATGCAAACAAGTCGGCTATATGCACGAGGCGGAGCGGGTGGACCGTTACGTCGGAGGGCTAAAGCCGGACATATCGCACGAAATTATGCTACGCGGGCTCTCGAATTTCAACGAGATCCTCGCGCTCGCCGAGAAAATCGACATCCTACGGCGACCGAGACTGGGGTCCTACTACGGACAACATCCTCGGGGACCGACCGAGCACGCCACCGTACACGCCGTTGCGACGAACGCAGCTGCCGCGCCATTTAAGGGGCGCTGCTTTGCTTGCAATAGGCCGGGCCATCGCAAAAGTGAATGTCCAGAGGAGCTAAGGCGCCGTGGAACAGAGCAGGGGCGAGAGTCTCAGAGGCCGGGAAACGCCAGCAATCAGTAGAAGTTGGGCCAACTACTGACAAGACTGCCTGCTCGCCCAACTTCACCGACCCTCACCGAGTCACAGTACCGATTCACGCTATTGATCGGGCTCGGACGAATAAGGAGGGTACAGCGACGGATTGCCCAGTACTGATTCACAGGAAAATACAGGGAGCAACAGTGAAGATTTTTATAGACGGAGGTGCAAGTCACAGCTTAGTTAATACCGCGACTGCAAGGAAGTTGCAACTAACACTTAGTCGGTGCTTACCAGAGATCGACGCACGCTTAGTTGACGGAACGCCACTGGCCATACGGGAGAAAGTGGAAAGAGTAAAAGTCCGCTGTGGGGGGAATTTCGGTTTTACACAGGAAATGCTCGCGACGACATTGGATGGGCACGACATTTTACTGGGATGTGATTGGCTGCGGCGATACAACCCGCGAATCGACTGGACGACAGGCAACTGCACTGTGCGAAGTAGCGGTAACTGGGTGGAGCTACCTCGCTGGCAGTTGCCTGAGTCTTCAACGGTCCACGTCAACGCCATCACGATGAAACGGGCTGTCGCCGCTGGAGCTGACGTGTACGCGGTAGATATCGCGATAGTGGAAGAAGCGGACAAACCAAGTGATTTTTAGAAACTACTGGAAGCAGTACCATCGGGACTACAGGACCTGTTGAAACGATTCCCGGGGATCTTCCCCGATGACCTACCCGAGGGGCTGCCACCTCAGCGGGCGCACGATCACCGAATAGAATTAGAGCCCGGGGCACAGCCAACCGTACAGCGACAGTTCAGACTGACACAGCCCGAGCTTGACGAGCTAAGGAAGCAGTTAGATTACCTGTTAGAGAAAAAATTCATCCGACCGAGCTCATCGCCATTCGCCGCACCGATACTGTTCACACCGAAAAAGGACGGCGGGTTTCGCATGTGTATCGACTACCAAGCACTGAACAGGGTTACAGTTAAATCACGATACCCCATCCCCCGAGCTGACGAACTGATAGATCAACTGCGAACATCGCGAGTCTTTTCGAAAATCGACTTACGGGGAGGTTACCACCAAATTAGGGTCGAACCGTCGGACTGCGCCAAAACAACTTTTAGGACTAGGTACGGGTCGTTCGAATATACGGTGATGCCTTTCGGGCTGACCAACGCACCGGCGACTTTTCAGATGACGATGAACGAGGCATTTAGGCCACTCTTAGATAAATGCGTAATCATCTACCTCGACGACATCCTAGTCTACAGTCGGGATAAGCAGCAGCACTTAGAAGATTTAGAAGCAGTATTTACAGTTCTAGACAAACACAGACTACTGACAAAGGGTTCCAAGTGTGAGTTTTTTCAGGATAGGCTAGAGTTTTTGGGGCACGTTATTTCGGAGGCTGGCGTAGAAATCGACCCGAAGAAATTGGACACGGTAAAAGCGTGGCACCCCCCGACGAACATCACGGAACTCCAGAGTTTTTTGGGTTTTGTTAATTACGTGCGCCGGTTCGTCCCCGACATGGCACGCTTAACGGCCCCGCTTACGGACTTGCTAAGGAAGGGGGTCGCTTTTACGTGGGGGGGGGGAAAGAGCATGCTACCTTCTCCACCCTAAAAACTGTTCTCTGTTCACCGCCCGTACTACGCATCGCCGACCCATACCGCCCATTCGAAGTGGTTACTGACGCAAGCGACATCGCCATCGGCGCCGTACTGCTACAAGACTTCGGCAACGGGTTACAGCCCATCGCCTACGAATCACGAAAGCTGCATCCGCCCGAGAAGAATTATCCGATACACGATCACGAAATGCTTGCGATTGTGCATGCATTCAAAGTGTGGCGCTGTTACTTGACCGGCGCCGACGTGACAGTACGGACAGATCACAAGTCACTACAGTACCTCCGCGCACAACCCCACCTCAACCCACGACAAATCCGCTGGCTCGACTACCTCGAGTCGAATTTTCACTACACGGTTACCTACAAAAAAGGGGCATCGAACATCGCCGATGCATTAACCCGACCCACAGCCCAAGTTCACGCCATACTACTCACCCAGACCAGCCCACTGTTAACAGGCCTATTTACCCACGGTTACCAAACTGATCCATTTTTTACAGGCGGAAACTCGCAGCAGTTTGCAGCAGCAAGAGGAGTCTATTACGTAAAAGCCGGCACCGATCGCATCTGGGTACCGGGCTACACACTTCTACGGGAATTACTGTTGCAAGAGGCACACGACGGAGTTACCTCAGGGCATTTCGGAGTAGAGAAAACACGGCAGCAGCTGCAACGGTACTACTACTGGCCCGAAATGT